TTTTGAACTTAGTATAGATAATTATCTTCTATTTTACTTGGTGTTAATTTATTCTTTGTAAACAATTATGGCTTTTGTCACTTGATTTTCTTATTTAATGACTTGTTAGCAAATATTTTCCTTATTTCATCGTCTTGTTATTTTGGATATTATATATTTAAGAATTTCAAATAAATCATTTCAATGGGGATTTGATTCAAAATATTTGAACAGAGTGACTCAAGATAGTTGCCGTTGTAATTCTTTAAAGGTGCGTCGATAGCTGTCGGGAATTAGGGAAAGTATTCTTTGTGGGTGAGTCTGCGAATTTCTATTTTCTCCAATTACATTTCTTCAAGTTTTGACTTTTCATGTGGAACGTCTGTATGGTCGGTCTTGCAGTGCACAGTTCTTTGAATTTCTATTAAAGCTAATTGAAAAGTTCAGATACTATAAAAAATGTGCAATATATAAAGCAGTGAACCTATTATTTCTAATGAGCATTGTTAAAAATACCACTTTATTTAGCAGTACTCCACAATTAGTCTGAGAATTCTAATCGCCATGCAATTGCTGATTATTGATGATACTATTGCGGTTGAAATAATACCATTTTTTTTTTATTCTATCGTTATAATTATTAAAAAGAAACCACCAGTCAGGTTTAAGTCACTTTTAATTGACTGTTAATTAGATGTTAAATTTAAAACCATTCGGGTGTTTCATTCATTAGAGACAGATTGATTTTTTATTTGAAATTTGTTCAAATAATCTCATCTTTGTAGAAAAATGGGATCAAAGTGATATTTATGAACTATAATTTTGAAACTTTACTACCATTTCGATGCTGAAAGTTCTACAACGTTTATTATTTAAACAGCAAAAATGATGTTAATTGCAAAATTGAATTCTTTTTAATTTAGTTATTTTAATGAAAATGAATTAAAATGATTAAATAATATCATCAAGTTACATTTTGTCGCCCTATCAGCGCTTCCATGGTTGGTCTTTTTTTTCATATCGTAATTATTAAAAACATGTCACCTGTAGGATTTAAGTCACTTTTAACATTATCAAACAAAGTTCATTACTGAAAAAAAGAGATTCAATATTTTAGGTGAATTCTAATCTTGCAACATTTTCATTGCGACGTTAAAAGTTTATTATTTAAGCTTCAATGTAGAATTGAAGTCTTGTAATGGAGAATTCTGGGACTATCTCTAGAATTCTTACTATATCTTTTTGCCATAGAATGCTGCTGGATTGTCTTCAGAAATCTAAATGTACGAAATTCACTATCTATAAAATTCTAAAATCTAATTCTGAGCCATTTCTAGAATTCTTAACTATCTCTTTTTGGTGCAGAATTCGGAACTATTTGTAGCTTCTGAATTTTCTCTTTATAATACGGGATTCTGGACTGTATCTTGTGGTAATATAGTAATTTAGAAGGTTTTAGCACCGTGGAAATCCAGTAAAGATTAATGGGTTGTGTTAGTACGATGAGATTTTTCACCTTGTGCACCTGAATTAAGTTGTTCCGCTCAGTTGTAGGGATGAATTACACAGCATATTACAATACCTTTATTAACAGATATAGTAGTAGTAGTAGTAATACAACAAACAGTTTATCTTCATGGAAGTAAACGAAGAATAATCGTAGAATTAAGGATCGCTAAGAAAGCAAAATGTTTTTTTTGAAGGATGAATCTTTGGTTATGTTTACATAATGTATATTTACCTGTGAAAATGGCAATGGTTTACAATATTTTGATGTACCTGTCGCATACAAAAATAGCTATGTGAACAAAAAAAGTATGTTAAGGAATATCTGATGCTACTGATTAAAAGACAGGGAATATTTGAATTGATCGACTTGCGGTATTTTAACCATTATGGACAAATATAGCTATCAACAGAAGGTGGGATTTAGTTAGTTAGATTTATTTTATAAACAAAGAAAGGGCATCAAACAAAGAAATGCTTAATGAGAAGTAAGAAATTAATTAAATGATTCTTCGTAGTGCGATTTGATGATTTTTATATGAAATTATTTTAATGCTACAATTTAGCTTGAGATTCGCGACATTCGAAATTGCAACATTGTCTGTAGGATGCGACACTGTCGATATCGCTTCTTAATTAGTCCTTTAATGCAGAAAAATCTCTCGAATTTTGTACTAAATCTTTTTAACACAGAATGTGGGTGCTTTTTTAATGCAGAATTTTGGACTATGTTAGAATACTAAACTTTTAGTTTCTAATGCAGAATTTTCGATTGTTTCTAGAATTTTGGTCTGTCTCGTCTTAATGTTCAGTTCTGGATATCTTTATAATTTTGGACTTCCCTTTTAATACTCAACTTTGGATGATCTGTTTCTAATATAGAATTTTTGTTACATCTGTAATTCTGTGATTATTATCTCTTTTTTTAATATGGAATATTGGACAAACTTTTTTATCTATATTAAAAATTTTGTATTAAAAAGAGTTTTTTTTTTTTTTTTGTATTAGAAATTTGTATTAAAATGAGTACAAAAAAATAATTCTGTTTTAAAAAGAAAAGTGCAAAATTGTAGAAATGTCCAGAAGTGGTGCATTAAAAAGATAGTACAGAATTCTAGAGATATTCCAAAATTTTGCATTATAAACAGGTAGTCCAAAATTCTGTAATAGGAACAAAGTTTCAAAATAAAAAGCAACAAACAGTATTTAATAAATTTTAATTTACTTTATTAATAACAAATATTTTGAAAGATTTCAATTCTGCAACTACAACTTTTGTAATTTGAGCAATAAACCTTATAAAAATTTAGACGTCAAAGTGACAATAAAGCTTCAAAATAAAAACTTATTAAATTATTGAATAACTTTGTTTCGTTATTCCCTAAAATTCAACTTTGTTGATAATAACATCAATCAAAAATGACTCAAATATTAAGGGTACATCTCTTAATAATTACAGCAGATTAAAAAAAAAATTGGGATCAAAATGGTGATCGAAATTGAAATCCTTCAAATTATTTATTACAGGAAAACTGAATTAAAAATGATCGAATATTTTAGTGAATCAACATTTTAATGTTACCTGTTAGCTTCAAGTGTTATTTTACCAACGAAGTTCATTTTTTGATCAAAATGAAATCGGAATTATCCAATTTAATGAATTCTGATTAGCATGTTTTCATTTGTTAAAAGTTTATTGCTTAAGACCAAAAGTAATGTAAAATATGGAATTAAAATCGCTTAAATAATTTATTAAAGAGAATTAAGATAATGTCAGTAAATCATCATTTTATCACCTGATCAGCATTTCAATGCTAACTTTCTTTAAATCCTATTGTAATTATTTTAAAAATGTCAGTTGCAAAATTTCAGTCATTTTTAAATAATATATAATCAAGTAAAATTAATTTTTAAGGAGGGATGAAATCAAGATGACCCAATAATTTTATAATTTTAATGAATTCTAATTTTGAAGATTTATTATCATTTCGAAGCCTTATTATCGAGTTAATATTTTTACAAGTTTATTGTTTGAACTGCAAAAGCACTAATGAAACAAGAAAGTCTCTCCTACCCTTTTCGTTGTCCATCATAGATTCAATCGATGACACTGTAACTAAGAAAATACTCTGATATTACCGTTGGGAACAACGAGTTCAACACTACTTAGTCCAATTACGGCATAACCTTTACAAATATAGTTGTTTGTATAAAAGTATAGTTTATTTGTACAGTAACATCGATCTTAAATTCATGTATTAATGGGAAAAGAGAAATGGGACGAATAGGAATTAGGAAGACAGTAGGGAAATTGATAAAATAGTGGATGCTTTCAACAATAGTTGCAAAAATAGATCCAATATCAAACAAGCGGAAATATGCGTTTGTTCTCACAAATTTAAGCGAAATTAAAATATTTGGATTCACAACAAAGCTGTCTTATCTTAATTATGGAGCAAAATCCAATATTCATTCCAACAGTTGTGAGTGAAACACTTACCTAATACGATGATACGCTTATTTTACCCAATATCACTGACTAGTTCAATTAGTAAATTTTTTCATTATAATAAGTTCAACTTTTAGAACTAAATTGTTCTGAGCAACTAAGTAATAATAAATCATTCCACCTACGACCATCACAGATTATTTGAAACTTTTAGTTTCCATTAATTATTTCGGCCCCGTACTAACACTTAGATTTTGTCCTTTGTAAGGGTAGAAATATGGATAAAGCTATGGAAAAGTAGCGACTTTCATACAAATATCAGGATAATACATGAAAAATATTTCCTTGATAAGCAAGAGGCCTAAAATCAGTCAATGTTATTCTATTTTAGCTAATTTAAATCTCTTTCCCGAAGATAACTGTCGTTCAACTCATCGACAGATAAACTGCTTGGAAAATAATGGTTATTAGATACAGATGATCATCTATCGCTTATCGAAAGTAATATCAAAGCCTATTTATATGACAACAGAAAACATACTGCTCTGACAACACTCTAAGCAAACAAAATATCAATAAAAATTAAGTGAGCAAAGAGAGAAATTATAGCTTAATTTGTACAAACTTTTAACAAAATTCCGATTTGAAAAAGAAAATAGCACAAATTCTTCCCTACTGTAACGACGGAATTTTTGTTTTATCAATATTTTTTTACAAAGAAAATCATCGCTGGTAAAAAATGAATTAAGAAAATACGAAGTGTTAGCTTCCGTTAATTTATTTGGAAGTTTCAATAAAACTACTTAAAAAATTCCGTTTTATGTAAACAAATTTCCTTTGAATTGTTTTTCCTAAAAATATTTCACCGCTATCAGTTGACATCACTTTTACAAAATATGAAATTCATTCATTGCTGAGTGAAGAAAAGCAGAAAGAGTGAAAAGGAAGAAGAGCCAAAATAATCATTTCAGTATCATTTGATAATGATAACATGCTTCTCTTCACGATACCCATATAGTAGTAGCAATTGTAGCAGCAGATACTAGCAGTGGAGAAACATAGTTCATCATAGAGGGATACCCACTGATCCTTTCTTGGATCGCAACTGGCCTGCTAGTAACGGATTGATAGCATAGAGCCAATCATACATCTGAAACCATTCATAAATTTACTTAAAAAAAAAAAAAAAAAAAAACACTAATGACTTAAATGAGTTTCGATACCTTGAACACTTTTTGGTTGGTAGTTATACGTGTAAATATTGTCAGGTAATGCAAGTAAAATTGATAAAATCTAATAGGATGTAATTTCAAATATTGTTAACATTGGATATAACGTTGGGAAGAGGGAAAAACCAACTTGATTATCTACCGTCTGCATCAAGAAACCGCGATGATTTGTGCACACTGAAAAGGTATTCGGTACCTTAAGCATCGCTTGCTGATCTTCCGAATATTCCACTCGTGCATTTGCTAGATTTATTATACCACGAATTACCTAAATGTTTCAGCGTTGATGAAAAGTAAACATTTTTAGTAGAATAAAAAATAATTTCAATTTAAATGTTTTACCTTTTTAAATTAGATCAGGAGAAATTAATAAATTTAACTTAAAATGTATGAAATATGATGAAGATAACAATGACCAAATCTCTGTCATCACGAAATAATAGAATATATGGCCTCCTCACAACCACCCATCGCTTTACCCAGCCTTGCGTCTTTTCTTCTAAGAAATTCATGTAACCTTTCTTGGAAACAACGATTCCCACACGCTCTTCTGTCACCTGTAACTTCAACAAACTTCACGTCAATTACTTTAAATGGTATAATCAAGTAAGCTTATTAGCGAAATTTCATTAGCATGCTTCTCATACCCTATAAATCTCAACCACATCAGTGTCACATAATATCGGTTTATTCTAACAGTGTTTAGTAGCTGTTTCACTACCTATTTCCTTTTTTATTTCTAGTTTTTAGTGCAACTTTTCAGTTAATAATTGCTTCTAATACTGTAAGTGGAATATGAAAACAATTAAAATTTTAATTTGCTAATTGCCTTATGTTACAAAGAAGGCTGAAGCGAAGTTACCTCAGGAACTAATAGAGACATTTGTGAGATTCGACTTCCACTCATTGAACGCTGCACGCCTTCATCGGTCTCATTGGAACTAAGTACCAGATTTTGGTTTGATTTCGACTTTAATTTATTCAAAAATTCAAGTGATAGCGAAGAATTAACCAGTAAATTCCTGAAAGAATAAGATTTTATTTGCAACTAATCTTCAATACGTTTTCACATTTCAAGTCTGTAGTTTTCACAAAAGAAATTTAAAGCATTTCGCACAATCAAAAAAAAAAAATAAACCTCGAAATCCATTTGATGGACCATGATGAGACAAAGAGTTACCGATGGGTATAATATATTTTTTTAAATCTCCTTAATTTTTATAATTTTTCGTATTACTTTTATGTTGAATTATTTTGTCTCCAAACTGAATGTCGTCTAACCTATCGGAAGTAGGACTTGTGATACTGTCTCCTAATGAAGATAATGTTTGGTCACTCTGATCCATTGCCTGCAATAAAAATGATCATTGTTGACCAGTAGAATGTACTTAAACTTATTGGGATAAGAAGATAGAGATAAGCAAAATAATATTCAGAAGTCCAGAAACTAAATAAAAAGCAACCTTTCCAGTAGGTGGTTCTTTGTTTATTGGTATTCTCTGCTTGATTAGACGAAGTACTTTCTGTGCCAGACCTGCCTCCTTCTCTGTTAATTTGCATGTTGTCGGAATGGGATATTTTGGTATTGTTGGGGAAAGTGGTGTTTTAATATCGTTTTCTTCTCCCACCTTCTTTCCTGACTTTAGTTTGTTTCGAAGACGAAGAAATAGTCTAACACGTTCTACCTGAAACATTTCAGCAAAATATCCCTTGTCATACTGCAAAAACTCTACGTATCTGTTATTCATCATCAATTTTCATTAAATAATTTCTAATAGTCCTGTCATATACCTGTTGCAATCGTGTCAATCTTTCCAACTCCCATTGATGTTCGAATATAAGTGAATCGCCACGTGGACGCCATAAGCCAAGATTCTCTTCGCCTCGAACGTACGCAGACGAAGTATCCAGTACGCGACGTTGCCTCCGTGCAGCACCTATTGTTGGATAAAAATTTGTTAACTATAGTTAATTGTGAATAAATTGTAAACACCGCAACCATGCTAGCAGAAATGAAATCATATTAAGTAAGGCTGTAGTCTACATGCGTCACATCCCTATAAATGTTACGATCAAATTTCATACATAGGGACAAATTCAGACAATTCAATATTGTGCAAAATTATTTGGAAAAAATTTTAATTTTCTAAATTTTCTGGGCAGCTTAACGAAAAATTTATGCAACAGTTATCACAATAAAACGATTGAAATGAACACGTACAACAAAGAGATAGAGAACACTTAAAAGCACAATCGACAAGCACACCTGGACTACCTTTGTCGAGAGCTTCCTTGACAGTAAGTTCGTAAACGCCAGGTACACGATTCATTTCTGGACTTTTGCTTATTCCACCAATCAACGACCGACAAAACCTTAATTTTTGAATTTACTAAACAACAGTCATTATCACTTGGTGTAAGCAAAAGCATGGTTCTAATCCTATCCTGGAGCTGAAAACTTTTGTAAGAAATTGGTCCTTCTTTTAAAGGAATAAGAAATAGGAAATTATATGGAAATTCAACATGGGAAAAGGTGGAACAGATGTAAGGTTCCCAGCTTACTGTGCTTAAGTCGTTGAATAATCTTTGGTTTTGCTTATAATTGCATTTTTTATGCCACGCAAGTTTGTACCTATTTATTAAATATTCTACAAAGTAATCCATTTTTATTTGAATTAGCCACGATAAATATCATTTGAAGTAGATTTAGCATAAAGAAAGAAAGCAATTTAGTAAGAAAAACACAAGAGGAATGATCAGATAATTAAGTGAGCAGGTAAGATTGTTGTTAGTTCAATTGGATTGTTTGCTGATGTTTCGCAGTGTATGGTAAACTTGAATTAGCTGCATATCTACAAACAGCTAAGTATTGAATAAGTGCGAGTAAGTAGGTAAAGGTAAAAGAAGGAAAAGCAAGCGAGAGGCTCGTTTTGTTGCGTTTTGTGCTGTTCTCAAAATAACCTTAAAAAGCATATAATAAGGCCGTATTTGTATAGGGCGACTATTGTTGGTAACCTGCTGGCGGCTGAGATTTTCGAGTCTCTGGCATAAATCATCATGCAAAGATCCTTCGTAATCACTGCTGGTTGGGTGCAATTCTCTAGTTCCATGTAGGCAGATAACGTCATATACACTTGCTCACCATAGTTTGATACTTTATTAAGAAGAGGAGAATTATGCAGTGAACTGTCCCAAGCTGCTTCAAACTGGAAGAACACCCTGGAAAATATATGAAATTTATTGATTTTGGGATAAAAACTTGGACCAACTTTAAAATGAAGCAATGCTTCATTTCTTTCTGGAGCTGAAATATGGTTCATTTTAGATAAAATAATTTTTGAGACTGTGATGATAAGCTTTTATTCTTCTTGATAAGGGAAACCTCGACATAGTTTTGGATTTTTATTATTTTCTCTGCATACCTGTCATCCATCGAGAATTCTAAGAACGTTCCTGGAAATAGTCCCAAAGATAGTACGTCGACATCTTCACCACTCCATTCTGGTGTTGATCGTATCCGACCGACTACTAATTCTTGACAGTCCTTCCATTTTACATCATCGCCTTTTTCATGGCATATTGTAATTTTCAACCGTCGTTGAATCCCTTGATGGAGCAGAAATATGCCATGGGTTAGTAGACCTAAATCATAATCGGTAAAAAAAAGGAGTTTCTTAAATAAAATCTTAATTTTCAGCAGAACATTCAATACATTCAATTCTTAGATTCCGGAAAAATATTTCCGGAATCCTGAGAATTATTTAAGTTCATAAATTTCGTTTATATTCATATGTTACAATCGCTCACTCACCCTGGGCATGGTCTACAGTTGCTGGAACATATTCACCATTGCTTCCAAGCTCACAAATTTCGAACCACACAAGTAGATCATATTTCGATCGTACTTGACTCAGACTATAATGTCAGATCATTATGAACTAGCTCAGACATGTCAAAATACACTCCTCATCCATCTCAAAAACGCATGAAGGGATTACTTGTTTGGAATGATGGTGGCTTTTTTACTTCTAACAGGTGTTGCGATTAATAATGATGGTTGCTGGAACGATAATTTTGTTGATAATCTTCGCCTAAAATTCAGATTTTCATTTCCATTCCATAATCATAATCAAACTAGACTTTTAGTGTAATTTATTTGCCTAAATTAAGTATTGGCCTACTCTAACTTTTCTGCAGAGCTTATTTTGATTAGGGAAAGCAGTATTAATTAAATCAAAGTTAATTCGATACACAACACATAATCGATCGGAATAAGTTATACCCGAGGGAACTGTTCTGACGTTCATAAACAAACTGCTGCAGAGATGGCTTGTAATGACCAAAAACTTCGAATATGATAGGGAAATGATTGACATAATGTAAAAATGTTGGCGACATGACCACTCGAATATTCTGTAATTATAAAATTAAAATTATCAACAAAATAAATTGATTGAGCAAGCGTCGACTGAATGACAAAGTAAAGTGCTTTTGACTACTTACCTGAACATGACCAAACGTTAAGGAAGTTTTCGTTGTATTTTTCATTGGTTCGGTTGAGAATGCTTCATCATGACGATGCAAGAAACTGTAATATTTTAAAATATGTTTAGAGTCATAAAATTCTTGCTCCTAAAGTCCAATAAATGAAAAGATAGAGAATTAAAAATAGTTAAAATTAAATTTAGCTGTTTAATCATGAAAAAGACTAACTTGAATTGGCAAAACACGTCACTATATTGTTCGGAAATGTCAGATGCTTCAATAATAGTAATACGGAAACAGTATTCTCTATCAGGTTGCATGTGTTTTGGATAATGCACAGTTTCTTCGTCCATTTTTTCTGGAAATTTTTTATTGATATTCAAATTGTCTACTATCAAAATAAATCATAATTCTGAAATTCAAAATTCAAATCCTCTATGAAATACAGACTGTCAGAACTGTAAATTAAAAAAGAAACTCACCGATGCTTTGTTGCATTTCATCATCTTTTGTATTAATACCTTCTACGAAACGCTCATTTGTTGATTCTAATGTGGTGTTCGTTGGTTGAACTCTCTTTGTGAAGTCTTCCTTACGGAAGTGACACTTTACCGACTGGTTAACACCTTTCAATGGTTTCATCTCATCTGAATTATATCATAACATATTTGTTGGGATGATTTAATGAAAATATATCCTTTATTAGCAATAATTTCTACCCGTAAGGAACGGTAAAACATACCATCCAGAACAGGCTCTATAGCAACCCGAAGATGACCTTTGACTTCGGCTCTTTCATTGACAATCACAACTTTATGCACAAGAGGCACATTATGCACTAGATTATTTAAATAAACGAAAGCCCTGCAAACACAGAGAAAAATGAAATTATAAAATAAAGCTTAATTTAACTATGTAATAGATAAATAATATTAACCTTCCGATCATTCGAAACCACGGGAAACGGTCATAAAAAGGATCTGTACCCATTAATGCATCGATCATTGGATCTTCTGGACTTTCAGAGCTATATCCCTCTTCCATATGATACATTTCACGCATCGACTCCAAACGTTGCCTTAATAAGACTTTTTTTAAATTATGTCAAGTTTGAAGATAATTCGGAAAAAAATATATAATAAAGAGAAATATAATATAATTCGGATTGTAATTCAAAAATGGTTGCAATATTTTAATTATATTTGATTTGTTCTAAACCAAAAATTGAGCAACATTCGATTAACGTTTTTTTTTTTTTTTTTTTTTTTTTAAAAAAAAAAAAAAGAATCTTAATAAGATCATAAGTACTGATCCCTTTTTTAAAAAAATATGCACCGAATGTTACTCAGATTTTATGGATCAGCTTAGGTAATCCTCCCAAAAATCTTCTACTTTTTCTTCTAAAATGTTTAAAAATGCAAATTATAGCGTTAAATATTAGGCTCCTTTCTCAATAATAGAACTGAACCTATTTCTAACATTACATTTAAAAGTTTATATTACTATTAGCTAAGACAAATATTAAAAGTTTTCAAAATTTTTAAATCAACTTATGAAGTCACCCTGAGCATCTAGCATATCTTTCCATAGCAAGTGAGAAGATATATATATATATATACAATCTTAATTCGAGCTTGATTAAGTGAAATTTTCAGGAATAAATAAATATTGAGCTATTGTTGACGAAAAATCTCTAACAAGTGTATCACGAAGTGCTAATAAAAAGGTGTATTATGGTTAGATGGGTGCAAAAGCTACAGTTTAGAATCATGCTTGCGAAATAGAGGTTGAGATGAGGTGAAGCACCTGTCAGGTATAAGTCTCGCAGGATTGAATTGCATAGCACTAAGCCAACATTGATGCTGTTCCTCTTCGGGACTATCCGGAGTACACGCATCACTTATATCGGCATTGTAGGAGCGACGCATACCTTCCAATCTCATTCTGCAACCAACTCAATTTCTATTTAATTCTTTAAACTTTCGAGTACTTTCTCTCTTATAATCTAGAAAATAAATAATCATTTCATAGAAAATTTCACATTCGCTCGCAGATATTTTTGGTTTCTATGAACAGAAATTTTCTATGGATAAAAATTTATTTAGGATGATTTAGTGGATGAATTTAAATTTGAAAAATGCAGAACTGATGGATAGTAATTGACAGCAGTCAAGGAAACAACAAAAAGATTCAGTTGAATTTCTAACTTTACAGAGTTAAAAGCTTAAAATATAGGTTTAGAAATGAAGCCTTCTTCATTCCCCTTTTTTCCCTCGAAAAGAACTGAAACAAGAAAGCAAGAATATGGTTAACACAAGCGAAGAAATGTTTCTCCCAAATTGTGGTTGAAAGATATATTGTAGATAAATCATCATCACAATAACTTGGTTGCTTAGGAAGTTAGAATTGATATGATGAAAGCACTTTATATGTTTCAAATATTAGGGAATATTGTAAACAATCAACTTAAAGTGAAATTAAAAAGGTGCCATATTTAGTAAAGTTGGTATAATTTGACAAAGAATTACAATTCTAAGCAAGTTCATCAAATAGATAAAATCTAAAATATTCAGCTGATCTGACAAGTATGCGGAAAGATTAATCATTAAAGTGAGATCTCTGCTATGAGTTCTAAATGAAACAGAATGCTGAAAATCCTAACTTCAATTACAGTCCCCCTCTTCGGTATCTTTTTTGATGGTCACATTTTTGGGATAAAGAAAAATAATGAAAAGGTGAGAAGTGCATGCCTGGATATTATCATCATCAACATAATATTGTGTCTAAACAGCACTGATCAAAATAATGCATTACATATTTGATGAAAATCATAGCAAAATCGTAGGTGTTTTACATGTATCAATTGTTGTAATCGATTTAGGTAAAAAGCTATAGACAAAAAAAAGTCCAATAATTACAAATCAAGTCTTGGATGGATAAGTAGATGCAACGAAAGAAGTCATACAGCTTATCCTAGTCTAGTCTAATATCAAAGGATATTTTTTGAAAACAACTAATATATTACATTTCACACAGTTCATGCAACAATCTACTAGCTCGCATTGAAATTCTGGCTATACTACACGGGTGCGTAAGTGCGTAAGTGCAAATCAAATCTGAACAGAAAATATTACTTTAGTTTTTCGATACTCCAGTAATGCATTGCACCATTCTTTAAGTCTTGCACCTGCACCGCAACAACTGTTTTTGGATATGGGCGCAAGGACAAATCTTCACCAGGTAAAAGTAGATCCGGCGGTAACGGACTATACATTGTGTCTGTTAATAAAACAAATTGGAATTGTACCTGAAATTATGAATATAATTGATCGGGAAGGACTATAATTCTCAATAACATATGATAATGATAATTTATAGTATTGATAATAGGACATAGCAGTGGAACCATGAAAAATCTTTAAAAAGTATTCTTCCAAGAGTTTTCAACCTTCTTTCGTAATTCAACAGAAATAGCGTTCGCCTCCTTCAGGAAAATTGCATTTCCCCACAGATCGTCCCGAACTGAAGTAAACTGATGATAGCGCCATTTCGTTGCTGTGCAACGAGCAATTCGTTCCTCTTCTGGGGTCCATTTACACTCTGGCTCAGCCACTGAAATTCATAATAACTGCTTTTAAAATGTTAAATGTTAAAGAAAATTCATTATTTTTCATCAAACATATGTGAATATAATTCAATTCAATCTCATATAAGTTCAACCGAAATCAAGATTTTATTATGCTTATGCAATTAAATTTCAAACCTTAACTTCTCTTCTAAGCCATTGGCTTGTAATAATAATGTTGGTAATCAATTTATCGCTGCCATCAGCTTCTATTGACAGTGTTTCTTTAAAGTTTACCGAAATTGAGTAAGCTGCTTGTAAGAAAGCGTTCGCCATCCCACGTGGAACACGTAGATGAAATCATGCTTTGTGCCAAATCAACTTGTCGTTGTAATGTCTCGATACGCATTTCGTACTCCTAAAATATCCACATGATTATTACCATTTCAATAATCCTTCTCATCTATTAATGCTGTTGGTTAAGATTATATGTTTAAGGTCACAGTTTTAGACCATAGCTCATTAGCATTAGCAAGAATTAAATTTTTGCTTCAGAATTACGAGCAACAAGAAAATATCATAGCGTAACCTTCGTTTGTCGCATCATTTTCACTTCAAGTTCTTCACGTTCCCGGCGGTATTGTGATTCCATTTCGAGCATTTTTTTCTCCATTTCGGCTTTCAGATCGATGCCTTGTTTCTCTAACAGTTCTTGTTGAGCATATTTCCAATCTAATGTTTCACCTAAATAAGTAGCTCTCATTTATATGTCTAATTGTTTTGAGATCTAAGATAAGACTTTCTGCATTTTAAATGAAAAAATTAAAATCAAATTGCACTGTTGTCAAGTTTTACTGCACGAATTTAAGTTTTAAGTAAATAGCATTTTCCAAGTCTACCGTTTTGCTTTTTGCTTCCACTTTAATAATCATTGCTTTTTAATTCTTTACAATTTTTCAACTTCCTAATTCGAACTAGACATTAGTTCCTGAATATTCTGTTTCGAGTTGCAAAGAAGCGATTCTTTCAGTTGTTGAAAAGCCATAAATGATAGAATGGTATAATATTTAAAAGAGAGATGCTAAGTAAATGGACGTTATGATACCTTTGTAATGCTAAAAGGAAAACTTACTAGGCGCCAAATTTGTTAAATTTTGTCGACTTTGACGGGCTTCGATTGGATCATTATATCTAAACACGTGATATTTGCCTAGAATCACACGTGAGCCTGTGTGTAATACTTCCGAGGAGACAACTGGTTTGCCATTTACAAAACATTGAGCACCGGGCTCTGGAATCAAGTGTACTACTCCATCTTCGTTCAAGAAACGACAGTGCTCGTCGAGAATAAGCTGACCGCTAAGAAGAATATCCGGACGACGGGATGCTTCCGGCCGTCCAACTCTACAACAGTTCTCATGATGAATTTCAAAAAACATCCAAATGAAGCTTATAATTGTAAATCATGATTGTAAGTTGCAAACATAAATTGTAGTCGATTATTCATCATAGTCAAAGTTCAAAATAACCAATTCAACATTTTTAGTGCAACTTCAAAAGTTAATTTTTGACACCGTAAAAAGTAATATCAAACACTGAATGCCTTATTGGTACTTACATTTTCAATTCATTATATGGAGAATAATTGGGTAGTGCTTACCTTGTTATTCCTTCTTTCAAATAATAGAGTAAACATTCTGACATCAATGGATCTTCATTCAAATTTACCAAATGAGGGAACTGTAAAAAAACGCTGTTAAAAATTTTTTTGAAAATGTTATTACCAAATTACTCCTCCTCTGCCTTCTTTTATTGTGTGAAATATATGATAATAAATTTGAGATGAAGTAGCCATTAACCTTTTTTGGTGAGAAAACTCCGAGAGTGGTACCATCTGCTCCGGTAGCTAAACCCATTTCACGTAGTTCATCTTCACGCTGTTTGCGAATTTCATCAGTTTTGCGTAGCTTTTCCTCCCAGGTTTCATTAAGTTCAGCGATAAGTTTTTCGGATGCTACAAATACAACAAAGTGATTTTGGAATCTAAATTTCTATAACTGCTTAGAAAAATTCTAAGCATTCAATTTTTAATGTTTAAAAGTATGTTTGAAATTATTTTGTAATTTTCCATTGAATTCATATGAAAAAATTTTTTAACTAACTAGAAGTTTTTAAACTGTTAATAACAGCGTGCACTTTGTTGCTAAATTGAAACTTTAAAAAGATAAACAGAAAGAAGAGAAAGGCAACCTTTCAGTTGTTCAATAGTGTCATGATCTCTGGCGGAATAGATTGCTTTTTCATTCTGTGGATCATCACTATCGATACCTTTTAATTCAAGCAAACTGCGAAGTTTCAATACCTCCTCCTTCAATTCCCGAATCAGTTTCGCATTCGGATCCTCATTCACTTTTGCTTGGCATACAATTTGCTTGGCCCGATCCGCATACCTAAAATATCATCGAAAACTATATGAACTGCAGGATGTTGAATCATTGATTCATATGCTTCAGCACGAGTTAAAAAAAAAAAAAAAAAAAACTGACAGCAGTTGCAACTACAAAGGTCAATACGGAATAAAATGAGCGTAGGAACTTCTGATAAAACAAAAACAATATCATTATGCTGTCAACTTCAGATGATGATAAAATCAGTTGGGTTACTGAGAAATCTGATGCGTGAACAACATAACAACGAGTTTTCGTATTAAGGGGATCTCGAAAAGGGTACCTCAGTGTACTCAGCGTTTCGTCGAAGTTAATATCGGCAGGTGACAATGCAGCAATCATCGCAGTTTTCGAATTTCCCCCGAGATTCTCTCGCAAAAGCCAAGTGAGTACCGAATCGCGGTATGGTATCACTGATTTAGCCCTACATTTCTTTTTATTTGCCTAAAACAAGCTGCATATTTAAAAATATGAAAAAACTTAGATAAGTGGATTTGCAAAAATTTTTTCTTTAAAAAAAAAAGTTCTAAAAAATAAGCTGAAACTACCAAACATTAAAATATAAATCATTAATATCATAAGGATTTCATGTGAAGAGCTAACTTCTTCAGCCAATTTCGAGATGACAAGCCCAAGGGTCGTTAAACTTTTGTTGATATTGGCACCCTCTTTTAAACGCTGCCCCTCAGCACCAGTTGACGTGGCTCTTTCACTTCCAGCCAAGTCAACTAATGAAATCTTGCTGACCTATAATTTTAACATTAAAAAAAATTAAATAAACTTGTTGAATTCAAGCAAGAAATTTAGTTGAAAAGAATTTAAAACAGGTAGATGAAAGAAGAAATTCGTTCAAATGGAACTGGCCTTTTCGCAATCCAGATCTGCGTCCGGATCATGCTTCTTCTGGGTCAGAACAATTGTGAAGACAGCATGTGAACGACTCGACGTCGAATTCATATTTGTTGCAGCTACAGTTCTAAAAAGTATTCAATGGAAAGTGTCTGCAAACTATATTTGCAGGCTTAAAAAATAATAAAGTAATTTCAGAATCTGATTTCGGTTTCTTTACCTGGCTTTGTTTCCTTCATCCATTAAATCACAAATATCTTGATAGGAGCATACTGCTAATTTCGTAAGATCGTCAACATAAGGTCCAAGGAGAGGATGTTCTCGCACACGAAGATTTCCTCCATTTGATGGATTCAATAAATCTCGAACTCTTTCACAGTAGATCTCCATATATGATACCTAAGAAAACCCACAATAACGCAAGAAAATCAAAAAGCTCAGATCAATCTGTCCTAAAATATATGATGAGATTAGAAGAGTAAATTCAAATAACCTACCTCAACCGAATATTTCAAGTTCAGATCCGAATTGCTATGAATTTTTTGAAATAAATGATTACACAGTCGAGGAATAATACCCATTTCAGCCTCGTCATTCGGTTTACCCATCATTGTGTAACTCTTACCACTACCCGTTTGTCCATATGCAAATATGCAGACGTTGTATCTACGAAAGAATCAATTTTCCAAATTGAAAAAATATTAGAGAAAAGTGAAGAAATTTCAATTATCAATCATCGAAAAAAAAGATTTTATGCACAGACTCCTTTAAGTCAAAAAGCGTACCCCTCGAATGCATGGTCCAGCATTTCAACGCCCAAATCCTGGTAAACCTGTTGCTGACTTGCAAAATTACTGTCATCTTTATTGAATGACCAGTAGGAATAATCAAAGTTAAAACTATGAGTTCGTTCCGGACCGCTTCCACCAATTATTGCTAAATAATCAATTTTAATTCTCTCATGTCGGAAATGTCGGAAGAAAATAAAATACTCTTCTTTTCTAATATTTTTTTCTTTACCATTCTTGTCTAAACTTATCCTGCATGAGCATTTATTTTAGAATTCAATTTATTTGTTCTTGAAAAAAAAAAAAACTAAAAAAGTTATTCTTTAAATGTACCAATGTCTTTTCCTTTCCTTTCCAACTGCCTGTTTTAACTTCCTTTCGCTTTCTCTTATTAAAAACTACAGAAATAAAAGTGTAACTAACTTGTAGTACTTCCAGCCATTGCAATAATTATTTTAGCATTATTATTAATTTCGCGGTTGTTAAAAGGACGCACCCGGACAGCTACTTTGACAGATGACATGCTTGACCTAGGTTAATGCCTGAAAATCTACGAAATTATGCAGAATGACATTTAAAATGAATAGAGATGAGATGGAATGCATCACTAAAGTGATAAAGTCATCAAATGCTTGTTTCAATTAACTAAATGTTTGCTCTATCTATTTATATCTATGTGGGGCAGTTATTCTTAGCTTTTCTGTAAAAAATATAACTTTTAAATTACTTATTCAACCCGATACGATATTGTGCAAAATTTCGCATTTAATTTATATCAGACTATTGGATAATTCTCCTTTTTTACATCTTAATTACATCGAACTTGAATATTTAATTTTGTTACATTGAAATCTTTGAATGTTACATATATCAAAGAAAAATTTGAACATTAGGTAATGATTTGTTCAACTTTTTCCAAGCAAACAAGCAATAAAATAAAATAGCAAATATGGTTTGTAATTGCTCAAGATTTGAAATTTGGTACAAAATATTGGAAGAAATAGAAGTAAGAGAATAAAAAAAAAAGAGAGACTATTCATACTTAGTACATTTTGATAAAAATATATCATTTAGCCATGCAAAAATTAACCATATTATATCCATCCACTGATTCACTTGTTAAACGATTCCTTTTCTAACTGCTCATTTCTGAATGAAATGACAGAAAGTACAGAAATGAAGAAAAGTGAGTTAGAAGAGCTTACAAATCAAACGTTATTAAATGACAGTCAAAGATTAAGTGACAATGTCATCCGTCCACTCAATCCTTCAGCCACTATCAGTGCCATTCGCACGCACCATTCGGCGCTTCCATTAAAACACGAATAGATTGATGATGCAACAACACATTTTTTACTCATTATAAAAAAATGCCATTCGTCGTTTGCTTCTGTTCACCTCAACTTCTCACTTTTTCTTTCTCTCCCTCCCTCTCTTTCTTCCTTTTATTCCCTCTGAAACGGATTTTTTGCAAACAAGAGAAAAATTTTTTAAAAATAGTGAAATAAATGAACAAATGGCACTACCCACAAGAAAATCTTTGAAAGTTTGTAAAATGAAATGATGATTCAGATTTAAAATGTATTTTCGAAGTTTTAAAAGGAAGTTAGTATCTTTAAAAATAGATTTTTAATTTTTATAGCTATCATAATCTTTCTGTAATGGCTATTTCATACTGGATTATTTCAGCGCTTTGGGACGGAAGGTTAAGATATGTTATGACATTTTCAACCATATCATTATTTGTAAGAAAATAGTTCACAGTACTGATCAACGTGAAGTATGACAAGGCTTGCGTGCATGTCTGAACGATTCGTAAGATCGCACAACTAAACCAGAAATTTGAAGAAACGAATAATAATTTGGGATTGGCAGAATTAACACATATAATCGCACCAATCAGTTCTCTCATGTATGTGCGGATGGCCAATTAAATTTCTTATTGGTCTAAATTTTTTCACTAAACAGCCAATCAATCAATAAGACAAAGTAAAGGGAAAAAGAGGTATGATGCATTACGATGCAGCAATTACTGCAAATTATAAAGTGGTATGAAAAAAGAAAGGATACTTGTGGTAAAAAAATTCATAAAATGAGGTCAGGAACGAACTGCTGCGTTTTCACATCTAGTTAAAAAGGTAACAAAGTGGAAAAGGGAAGCAAAAGAAGAAAACGGAAGAGAATAAAGAAAAAGCGGAAGATGGAAAAGCTAAAAGTGCTATTATCCAGTCATTTGAAAAATTAGAAAAAAATTAAAGTCAACCAGTGATGTGAAAGATTTGAAAAGTCTTCTTGATATTTCCATTGATGACAGTTACAAGCTTCTTTAATTGCTTAATATCTTTTTAGACTTTTTAAACGAGACGATTTAATCAAACATTATTTGCGACTTTTTCTATAACAAATTTTTCGCTTTTTAATTAAGCAATGCTGTGTGTTGGTTTTTTACTTCTCCCTTCTGTCTCTTTTCCTTTTATCTAATCAGTTTCCATACATTTCTAAACCAGCATTTTGCTTTTACAGAGTTAGTTAAAGAGTTAAAACTTCATTAAAAACACAGGTATACCTTGGGTCAAAGTTACTGTCACTGTTTTTTTTTTTTTTTTTCTTTTTCTTAATATAAATCACTGAAACAAAAAGGATGAGACGTCTCATTAACATATTTGGAATAGGTATTAATGTATTAATGATATCGATATGGAAGTCAAAGTGGACTACTGCATTCGCCAATAGCTCATCATAGCTTTTTAATAAACTAATGTCCTTGCGTTTTGACTACTGCAAATCTTTAAGCTACGTTTGATGCAAATTAAACTTGGGCAGATCGTTTCGTGATTATAACTTTTTGATCCTATCATTTCAAGTTACCTATCGAATTAGCTAATTACTCATTATGAATTGTTAGATTAAAGCTATATAACAAAGAAACAAACGAGAACACATTAAAAAACATATAGCGCAAAAAGAGAAGACAGAAGTTCATTCAATGAATTCAAAAATTTGTTAAGCAAAGCTATTTTAATTCTTTTCACAGAGCCAACAGCTTGTTTCTTTCTTCCTTTCCCTCTCGAGTAATTAACCAAACATTCTCTATCACAAATACATGCCTAGGACGGGAATGGATGAGATGCATTTTTCTCGCGAAGCATGAAAGCACTCACCCAATTAAATCTTAAATGGGATTTTTGATGAATTTCTCAGTCAAAACTTACTTTGTGTTTATTTGCATATCTCTTATCTTAACTGAAACATTAACCTGAAAACCGGCAAATTGATCATCCCTAAAATCAAAAACATTTGATAAGTCCTAAGTTGGAGACATGAAATTATTAATGTAGAAAAAGATCATATAATAACAGTACCACCTAAGTGGTGCCATCCTTAATGGAATCCGTCGAATTAGTTAGAATGAATTTTTTGAGATTTTTTCAAGTTATGAAATGAAAATTTGTAAAAATTTTAGAATGAAAATTATTTTTTGGAAAAGTAGACGACCACAAAGAGTAGGATCCACAGTTGAGGCAAATTACATTCCAAGTGCACTAGGCTTGAAACCCATATATATTGATTCTTCGGAGCCCAGTGGAAGAAGTGTCTCCTCCTCTTGCATCTCAACGCTTCGAACTATACTGCCCTAGTCTGTTGCTAAAACCAACTTAGTAGAAACACAATGAGGAGGGCAGGCCTTTTTGCTGGGCCTGAAAAGAGCCTTTTTGATAATATTCTCTGCTGCGTGTCTCATCATTGAACAACACACTCATTGCGCCCCTATAACATTGCAATTAAAGCCTTTTTCGCCTGCGCACATTGCCTCAAAGACAATCGCAATTCCACCTAAGGGCCTTAATGTTTTTCAAGAGAAAATCCTTTAAAAAAATTTCCTTCGATGTTATTCGCCAATGCAAGCTGACTGCAGAGTTAGATATGAAGAGAAGGACATTCTACTATTATTAAGCTTTTGTCCTACACAAATCTAATTCCATCAGCCTAGAATTCTTCTCCTCTTTTTTCGTACCTCTCTACAGATATGATGTGACTGGCAATGAGTAGCTTCCTTTTATAAAACCTGCCTTTATTTGTAATTAATGAAGAGCTACTCGGAGACAAAGATGACAGTACATTGACATCAACTATTTGGTGACCAGCGACGGACCACAGATATGAATTTTTATCGGATTTGCTTTTTATTATTTTTGACATATCATTAAACATAATGAATCCAAAATTTGAATTTAGTTTAGCTTCATTCATTGTTTAAACAAAGAAACTAAGGTGAGTATGAGTTGCAATCATCAACCAAACTTATAAATTTGTAAGATCAGATTTCTTTTCTGAGAAAATTTTATTCCAATCTAATCATTGCTTTAGTCTCTGCTCATACTTAACAATTTTCTTTACTTCTATAAATAATCATTATTTCGACATGATAATAACCTCGCAAAATAACGGCAACGAGCAACAACAACCTAAATTACATTTAGATGAAAACATTTTGGCTTTGCACTCCAATATAGTCACTACTATATTTCAAGAATTAGAATTATAGAAATCATCAATGAATAATCGAACTATTTATCAATGCGGAATCTGAAATGTCAAAATGTCGATTTTGAGAAACAAATGATGTTCTTATCGAATTGAACATCTCTGTTAGAAGATTTAACAGTTTTAAGACTTCCTCTAAAAAACTGCTCAACATTTTCTATTAAAACTGCGACTGCTTAACTTTTTTTTCAAAATGACTGCTGACAAAGTAATCAGTAAACAAATTGCTGCTATTCATATTGGGATGGAAATTTTTCATTTTCTGACCGCATGATTATAATTAGATTTCAAGGAAGTCAAAAGGTAATGATGTAAATAGTTTGGCCCTTCAGTCGGCGGTATTTTTTTGTTGTTGGTAGCTGGAAAGTGCATTAGAGTTTATTGAAGGAGTAAAATTTCATTCTACATTTCGGACAGATGTCTTTTCCTTTGTAAGGAATAGCACTGAAACATGAAGTGAACCCTCCTGATGACCAATTTTTTAAAGAAATGTTGTTTGGAAGAAACGCTTAGACAGAAGCCGTCATTTTGCACTTTTGTACGGATAAAGGAAATAATTCAATTTTTTCTGTGAGCCTATCCACTACTTTATTCTGCTTAACTATATTCTAGGAATGGCTTCTGTTGTGAATGTATGCAGTGTAAATGTACTGGGAAATCCCGGCAAATTCGACGACCCTTTCAAGTTGGAAATCACTTTTGAGTGTTATGAACCTCTTGCAGATGGTTAGTTCACACGTAATTTGTACTTTTCCTTGCATTGGTTTGTCTATTAATGAGACAATGCGCATTGCTTGCCAAATAATGCAGGTTCATAGTACTGTTCTAAGTAAACACAGTATGTTTGTCATAGAAACAAACATATGTCATAGAAATTATGTTATTCTCAGATTGTTTTTAGACTTGGACTGGGAACTAGTATATGTCGGTTCAGGGGAATCGAATGCATATGATCAAATTCTTGATTCTATTTTAGTTGGTCCAGTTGTGGAAGGACGTCACAAGTTTATTTTCGAGGTTTTCTATTTTTGGACCATGTAGAGATGCAAATTAAATGATAAAAAATGGTTTTATTTGTTTAATAAGTTTTATTTTTATTTTACTTAGTATGCTGCGTGTTACCTGAAATATAAAGATTTGAGTGCAATATGGATTTTGATTAAACCTTTTGAAATTTCATCGAAGGTTAGTAGGAAATATTTTGTTGGGCACATCCATGGGCTCGAATTTGGGAAATGTATTTAATAAATAGGAATATTTTTATAATGTTTTGATGCAATTGACAGGCTGGTGGTCCGGATCCATCTAAAATACCGGAAAGTGAAATTGTTGGTGTAACAGTGCTGTTGTTAAAGTGCAAGTATATGGAACAAGAGTTCATCAATATTGGATGGTTCGTTGCAACAGAATACACTGATCCGGATTTCCAGGAGGAACCCCCTGCATCTCCAATCCTGGAAAAAGTACTAAGTCTTTGTCTTCAGTTCGACTAATGAATAATGATTTATAAAAGTTCTGAATTAGTTTTCAAGTCCGTTGCAGCTGCAAAGAAGGGTTTGTATTGATGACGTCCGTGTAACTACTTTTGCGATCAAATGGCACAAAAATGAAGGAAGTGGGGATACGGAAGGTGTTGAAACTGTAGATTTGCGAAGTGTTGAAATCACCAGTGAAAAAACAGAGGACGATTCTACTATAAAAAGCGACGTTGATAAAAGTGACGATGGAAAGCAGGATGCAGGAATTGTTGAAGGTAAATCGTAAAGTACCATTTTATTAAATTTTTCTCCAAAACCATTTTTTTTTTTTTTTCCATAGAATTTCACTATTGATACCCAATGGAGTCTCAATTTAGAAATTTTTAAAAGCTTAGGTCGTTGCTTATTTCATTTTTGCATCTATTTTTCTGAAGCGGATCCTAGTTTTCATTTCTTGCAGGAATAAAATAAACAAGCTTTTTTTATTTAGACAACACTATTTTTAATACTTCTGCAGTTGGGACTAAAAATTTTTTAATGATTTAAGATATCACTACGTGAGTAATGTTATTTGTTATTTATTCGAACTGAAAAATTAGTGGAAATAGGAATTACATTTTGGAGATCGATATTTGGATTTCATTTAGATTATTTATTAATCATTATTTTCAGAAAAAATTGAAGCTGATGTAGAGGTGGAAGCATCGCTTGATGGTGCTAGTAAAACTACTACTAGTGTTTTACCACTTCTCGATGTCACCAATGAATCGATTCCTGATTTGGTTGATTGAAAGTGATAAACGCTGATTTGTCGATGATCTCTGTTGTTCCCGGAGTTCGTTTCTTTGTTTTCTTCGTTTTTTACTGGATTGTTATTTGATTTTCTGTGTATTATGTTTAGAGTTTTTTTTTTTTTCTATTTTTTGTCTTTCGAATTTTTGTGTATAATGATTATGTAGGCATAGCTATGGTTAAGTGGGAAGTGATTTTCTTGCAGATATGTCTTTGTTTTCTGTTTTGTTTTCAATCTCGAATAGACTTTTTTATTCGTCAAAATTTAGGAATTTGTCTTTGGTCACATGACTACTTCTTTCAATTTGCACCTTACTATTTCATCTCTTTTATCTGCTTACCTCTCATTTGTTTATTCTGCTTGCGAGTGATTAATTTGCCATCTATTTTTTGATTTTTACGTTTCTTCGAATGACACTAAATCATTTTCATGACTCTAAGCAAACGAAAGTTAATTCTTTGGATTTACTGCATAACAAAAACGAAGCAAAAATATAATTATAGTCGATATTGCAGACTAATTTTAAGATTACTATTGAATAACGACACTTAGACACTATTTTCTTCGAGTATTTCTAAATCAGTTCTTCAGCCTTTTTCAAAATCATTGGTTCAAAAAATTTGAAAGTGATAAACTTAATTTCTTTCCTGCCATCTGCTATCCTTTTTAACTTGTCACAAATGTTACATAACCTGGTAACTATTCAAAAAAATTGTACGAGCAGTTGTTTTATAGTCTTTTGCATTGGAATACCTCCTTCCAATATGTCTTGTAATTTGCTTTTTATCTGTGTGAGAACTTGATTTTTGAGATGAATATTTTTACTACATAGAATTTTTTCCTATAAAGGACTACTTTTACTATATATGACTTTTTTCTATAAAATGGGTTTTTTTTTTTATTTTTCTATAAAAAATGATTTTTTTTTCGATAATTATAAAGATGTTTCGATATTAAAATAATATAATATGCCAGATATGAGTAACAGACTAGATATAAATGCTGATTTAATGCTGTTGAAAATACATATTTCTGAATTTTAGCTGTCAATTTCGTAACAGATGATTTCAGATCGTCTTTTAATGGAATATCTAAACTGTTTGGCAGCAGGTCAAAAAATGTACTGTGATCAAATTACCTAGAAAGTTATTGACTGGAAAATTATTTATGAGAATGTGATAATGTTCTTTTGACACGGTTCCATTTCCAGAATATCCAAAATTTTGTGTATTCGGATGTTGTCCATTGCACATGCCCCATTTATTTTTCCATTATTTTCACACATAAACAGGATCTGAAATACTGTAATTATTTCGAGGGTCGTATATCCCCCCACTTTCTATTTTTATCGGTCTAATTTTTTTTTTATAGTTATTTGGCAGCTGCTTTTCTAGTAAAGAGTTTTTGTCGCTTACTTGATTTATCAATCAGTGATTTAATAATCGATCCTGGTAAAAGTAGTTTAAGTTGAGAGTTACTATCTCGATCTACTGGAGGCATTATCAAATACTAGATTTTAGATTTGATCAGTGGTCTGTTTACCCATTATTTTAATTATTCAAAATTTTTATACCTTTTCGGTACCTTGGGGACATGTAAACCTTTCTGTCCTCCAAATAAGTGGAGTTGAGTATGCCGCTGTTGCAAATGGACAAAATAATTCCGATGGTCGTTTGCCTCCCAATAATTTCCTTATGTTGATTAAGGTTTCTGGAAAAAATTAGTTCCTATTTTTGTTTTCAGAAGCATAGCATTTTGTTTACTCAAGATTTTTGCTCAAACTTTGTGTCTAAGAAGTGATAAAGCGCTTTCATGTTTCGTCTACCTAGATACGATGGCTTACTTCGAAACCTCTAATCGTTGCTATCTTCACAGCATAATATGCATTTCACTGAATGAAATTGATATTCAATGAGGTTAAATGCAGTAAATGAACCGTCTGCATCCAATTTTGTGTTATAGCAGCATCCATACAGTCGTTGTCCTTCTGTGAATTCTAACACATCGAATACAATTTTATGATCTTCTGTGAATGTTGTGTCTGTTTCTAATACTGCTATTGTATTCGGTCTCGTGAGTGCTTGCATAAAATTTTGATCATAGACTAAAATGCTAGAGATTGAAGTTCCAGAATATCGCAAATGAAGAGGAGAAATAAAATAAAAAAGCACCATATACACACTTGGACATAGGAACTACGAGTTTCACATTCTCAAAAGTGTAGTGTGTTTTAAGTAACAATTCAGCAATGTTATTTAAAAAATCTATAACTTTTTGGTTTCGGAATGAGATTAGCGAGAAACTTTGTTACGAAAGTGGGAATTGTCGGCATTTGTGGATTTTCAAAATATTAGTCGAAATACTTACGCCTAACTCGTTGGAAAGTTGAACCGCGAGACATTGGTGAATTTTTATAAGAGCACATCGACTGATCAAACAAGCACCCACCAGCAGTATTGCATTTTAAAAAATTGAAATTGAAAGGTAATTCTGGAGCAAGTGTTGTTGTTACAAATAGCACATTGTCTTGTTTGGCGTTATTTCGACCCAACCATCTAAGTATATTATTTTCATTTTCTGAACGCTTAATAACGATTTTACAAACTTATCTGAAAATTTGTCTATTCAGTATTTACATCCATCTGATTCATATTATGCAATAGGTCCACCTCCAGAGTTTATACAGTTCATTCAAATTTTTGAAATAATATAGCAATTTTTTGAAAGCTTCATTAACAGAAATTCCGACTCAAATATTCCACTATTGAAAAAATTTTTTTCCTTCACTTAGCTTTTTCCATTACTTTTCTCAATTTTACTTTTATTTAGAAGAGGAATGAAAGACCTACTCGCTGCTTTTTACATCATCTTTTCCAGTCTTCTGGCTTTCAACAATTAAGCCGTCCGAATCATCCTCCAAAAACTGCGCAAAAGCATCTCCAAAAATATCACTTAGCACTGAAATTTAACGCCTTTTTGGGAATCTTTTTTTAACCTTGCAAATATTTCATATCTTCAAAACAACTAAAAAGTTATAAAGAGTAAACTAACTAAATGGAGAATTTGAATTAGATGGAATTGTAAAATTCTTGGTAGATGATAATTTGCTAATTGTATGCTGAGAAGTTACGACTTTTGTTGTAAATTCTTCTTTCTCTTCATTTGGTTGTATTGAATATAGCTTGACTTGTCGATGTTTTGGTCTTATTAAAGGTAAATGACATTCTTCGGTAACAACTTTTATACTGTCAATAACTGCTGTTGCTATGGATTGTCCATGATTGTGTAGTTTGATGTAAAACTTAAAAGAAATATTTCTTTCGAAATAATCACCTCTCAAACAGATACCAATCTTGAATGCAATTCTTTAAATTTAAACTTTAAAAAATATTTAAAAGAACGGAATTTATTTGAGGGTTCCGTCCCCATTAATCTCGTTTACTTTTTTTCTTAAAAAAAAAGAAAGAGAAAAACACAATAATGTGATACTTGGATTGGTCGTTTGGGAGTGACAGTGAAATATTTGCTAGCGTAATCAGAAGATTTCCAGTTCCGTAGAAATGCGCAATATCGATAAATGCTATTTTCTCCGTTAGCAAATTTCCAGCACAATTTGATTCTTGTCTTCGGTGTCTGATAAGCTCTAAAAACATATAACTCACGTCAATGAAAGAAGATAATTTTAAGCATCGAAATTGCAATTTAATTCCGAGAAACTGTGTTGGTTGGCAAATTACCACAATTCTTATAAATATTTTAAATGATTCATAGCAAAGTTCGAACATTAAAATCAATAAAAAATTTGAGTATGTTGTAATTGAAGTGAATCATATGAGTAATTCTGATTAATTTATCAAAGCAAACCTTACAAATACTGTGAAAAGACCCGTTTTGGAGCATATTGCACATGAAGTCCAGTCACTCGAAAATCTCTGTTCCGGTGTTACAGATGTTGCCAGAAAAAAATGGTCTGAAATGAATTTTCTGTAAACAATCACAGATAGTATGTTATGCAAAAAAAGTTTGTCACTGCAAAATTATGTTAATGAATCTATTAATAAGCTGAAATTTTTATTTTAAATTAAACAGAAAAGTGAAACAATAGTTGATTTAATTCTATGTGATTTTGAATTATACCAAATTGAGAAATTATAAATTCAAGGCCAGACAGTGTTGGTGGAATCTGAAGCAAGATTTAAGAAATTTACAATCTGAAATATCTAATCACAAAATTAAAACATCCTGAATACTAAAATTTGATCAACGAATTGTTGAAACCTTCAGCACTAGGCAACCTGACTACTGACAATTCATCAGTGGATTATTGTGTTCTGAAATATTTCTTTGCATTCTAAACCTTCATGTAAGTTTCCTCGTAAACAAGTTAGTAGGTTACTCTATTTCTGCCGCCCAAAAACATAGCAGTAATGTTTTCCTTATTTTTAGTTTGAGCAAACAGTAACTTCGGTTTTTAGAAAAGTTGAAAAAAAAGTTTTTTGAATTGGAAAGGTACAGTAAATGAATTAAAACAAATATTAAGATAAAATAGAAAATGAAGTGCCTGAACATATTCAGAACTTTTGCTTACTTGACATTGCAATTACAAGTGGAAAAGTTCAAATTTTTAGATTTTTTGGCAATGTATTTTGAATGGAATTAATCAATATTCTTTTCAATTTCAATGTCGTTTTGTCCATGCTTACTTAATTTTAAGTATTTTTTAAAATATAAACTAAAGATAAACTTCTCAAAGTCATCAATATCGTTGTTTTCTCATTGCAGAGTTATGACCTGAAATAATTTAAGAAGTTTTTTTCTAAAAAAAACTTAGTTTGCAGCAATTCAAAGCGTAATGGTAAAATAAAAAAAGTAAAAATTTTTATTTGAAAAATTTGATGATTTTAAAAGTTTATTTTTAGTTTTAAAACTAGATAAGCATGAACACGAGACAAAAAACACACGAAATTGTTTTTAAAAAAAGAAAAGATTTGTGAGCTTTATAAATTAACATTGTGTTTGACAATATAACAGAGTTCATTCCTCTAAACTAAGATTTCCTGACTATGATTTTAAATATCTGTGTAATTTATGTACAATATATTTATTCTAAAGAAGAAATAAAAAAACTACTTAATTTGTCGTCTTGAAGTCGGGAATACAAAATGCTTCTGTTCTTATGATCATCACTTTTATCGCGATATATCTGCCACGGTGCGCCATCACCTTTATTTTTCCAGCAGCAAAATGTCCAGTTAAACTTACAATCAAGTGAACTACCATGAACTGCAAATAGGTCTCTGCACGTATCACAGAATATCAAATGTTTGAGAACGAAAAGATGTCACAGTGAAATGCTTTCATAAAAGTAATTTCTTGACGAATCCGTCGAAGGAATTGATTTTACGAATCTTTTCGGAATTGACAGAGTTAAAATCTGACTATTTCTCGAAGAAATTAGGATATGACAGTATATTTAAAACAAGTTTATCTGATCACTCCTAACAGATTGCATTTTATCATGCATTTCATCACTTCTAACGAGAGTAAAGTAGGAAAACGAACTATGATTAAAAAGTTCTTGAAAAAGTTATTCTTTTCAAATTAAGCTGGTAATGCTTACCTCGGAACTGTGACAAGGTGAACGGTAATGAAAAAATCAGAATATGCGACTGAACTGAGAACATAAAGATGTAATAAAAAGATTTAATTCGTATCACTCGCACTACTGACAGACAATAATTCCTGGAGTGAAAGAAGAGATGTGCATATGGTCACAATTTCAGCAGCACTTCTTCCACTGTCGTTATTGTCGTCGATGTATTCATGGATATATGTAATAGTTGATGTAACAAGTGCCCTCGTTGAACTAGTTCTTGATATCACCTACCCAACAGGATCATTGATCATGATAGAGACACTTTCAAAGCAAGATGAACATGTTAAGAACTATCATTCATAGATATTATCATTACTGTGACGTCATCATTATCATTAATAAAGCCTTAAAGAAACTTGCAATTGCCTTTTTCTTTTTATCGTAATTCATAAGCAAAGGAATTGAAATTTTTTGTTTCTCTATTGTTTTCAAATACAATTTGCATTTTTAAAAATGCTTTTTTTACCGAATATGAAGTGACAGGTGGACAAATATTATTTTTTCTTTTTTTTTAGATCGTATCATAAGATGAGTGTTATCATTATCCACGTTATCATATCAATCAGTCAGATATCACGATAGTCTGTTGAATGAAAATATGGATGATACTCTGGTGATGAATGTGGTAATCCGACATTTCTTTCTTTTGTCCTATATTTCGTCCTAGATATTTTTTTTGGCAGCACAGTTTACCATATTAGAGGTTTCTTCAAATATTTTCCTTTTGGGAATTTCTAAAACAGTTTCTAAAATTTTATTTGCAGTATGACTAATTGGACAAGTCATCGTGCCATTTTTTTCACACAGTTGACGAAAATCTTAATTTTATAAAAACTACTTCGTGGTGGGTGGTTTATTCCAGTTCCACTCTTGAAAATGTCATTTTACAATTTGAGCGGTTATTGCTTCAAAAATGTCGAAGTAATTTTCCTCATTTCAAGAAATTTTGGATAAAAATTTTAAACCAACAACTACTAACTACACTTATTTTATTACGTTCAATTTTCTTTTCAGTAATAGAGCTTTTAAATAAGTATTTCAAAGCTAAACTGAAACAGAACTTAGCTTCATCAAATTTTCAGAAGCCTTCAAGCAGTGGCAGACATGTGTTCGATACAACAAAATCGTATCTTTTGAAAAGATTTTTAATATTAAGTGAAACGAAAATTATTAAATTTATTTTATCTAAGTTGTAGTTTGATTAATCGGAATTGCGATATAAAATCGAAAAGACGATAGATGAGCGACTATGTAAATTTAAGTGTTTTTTGGGTAAAACTTCGTTATAGAACTCATTCAGTCCACAGATGAGATTCATTAAGGATAATTAGAGGATGATTGATAAGAGGTTGAATGCTTGAAATGAGTGGAATAGATTTTAAGAAGTCATCGGACTGCAAACATACCGGAAATAGGTTCAACAATATACAATACAATACAAACCGGTGGAGAAACACTTGTTGACGGATCATCTGAGAGCAAGGAAAGTGAGACAGGATCACGTCCCATGAGCGAAACGAGTTTAAGGATGGACCATTCAAAAAGCTTCAAAGTATTTAAGTATGTCTCTCAAACAGTTGGCTTTGTTTCTCTTCAGCAGAGTAGTATATTTAATTTCAACAAAGGCTAAGTGTTTTATACATCTTTTTTTTTATGGCAAATTATTGGAAATTATTTTGGATTCTTGTAATAAAATTTTCAATTAAAAATAATGAATAGAATTTGTAAAAAATAATGGTGGAATTTAAATCTTTTTAATTAGTTGCTATTTTTTTTTTTTTTGAATGGAATGACAAAGTGGCTCAATTTAGCATGTTTATTTAAATTGCAGTTGAAATGTTCTGTAAGTGAATAATAGAAAGCCTACAAGTAATTTAATTCAAAATTTTTATTTCGTCGAAAATTATTTGAAGTAATAGCAAACTTTTAATTGTCTCGCCATTTTCTGAAATTATTTCATAAAATTATTAAGAAGGATTATGAGAGAAAAAAATGGTCTATGAGAAAATTAAAGAAGAGGAAGAATGAAGACTGTTTTTTTTTTTGAAACATTTTAAAAAGCGATGTCAGTTCTAATTGATCGGCAAGAAATGAAAAAAGGATAATGAGAGACAAAGAAAATAATAGTAATGAAGTACAAAGTGAAGTGAAATAGAAATTTGTGAGGAAGTTCACCTTTAGTTGTTTCATTTTTTAATTTTTTTGTTGGCAAAAAGTAAAACAAATTTCTTTATCATATATAAAAATCAATGCACAAAATAGAATTAGAATAATAAATAACTCTGCAAAATCTACCTAATTAATTGATTAAAGTTAAAGTGGACATTTTAGCAGAGGTTGACGTCTTAGGTAAATTAATTCCTATCAGTTCACTTTTCTTACTAAATTTTTGAAGTTTTTTAAATATCAAAGGGTGAAAAAGGACATGAAGAGCCAGAAAGGAATTGATGCTCTACTTGCTTTCAGTTTGGCATTCTGTGAGAAAAGTTAAAGACCCTAACTTGTTCTTATTATTAACTGCCATTCTTTGACTTATAAAAAAAAAAAAACATTTTGAAATTCGGATTCCTGTTGCCCACGATTCGTCATATTTTTTTCCTAATAAAACAACTGCTATATTTTTTACTGGAATATGGAGCAGATAGTTTACAGCAAATTAAAATGGGGCTAGTTGAAAGAAGTAACCATAAGGAAGCAATTTGTTGTTTTTAGTTAATAACAAACTGGTAAATAGAAAGTATTGAAGAACAAGGGCCAACATATAGGAAAGAATGGAGTAAGTCAAGTTTCAGGAATAAATTAAACAAATGATAAATGATAATTATGTATAGATCAGAAAGCCATACTAAATTATCGAGGGACAAAATTCGATCGGATTCTATCTCAAACAACAAAGTAGAACGAAGAACGAGAAAAAGAAACAAGGGAGTTATTGTACGAGAATACGAAAATGATGTGAGTTAAATCAAAAATAAAGTTTTAACTCGCAAAAATAATTTTATACGCAATATTTGAGACCCAGATGATTATTTATAATTATAGGTTGAGGATAAAAATTCTCCATACAATGACCTTATAACAAGGTATTCTTATAATCATGGACCTGGTGGTTATTGTGAAGATGTTTCCGGAAGTGCAAGAAATCATCGAAGTAGAATATGAAAATTTATAGTCTAACTAGAGACTAGAGAAAAATGATGAAGGATGGATCACCAACTCCGGAGTGATTTTGAAAGAAAATGACAAAAACGCCAGCACAGTTCTTTTCTATTATGCTATAATCTAGTTGAACCAGATCATCCTTCAACGATGATGAATTGAATTACACAGCCTTACTGTAGAGCAATTTTATTAGAGAATTAATTTTTAAATTCAAATTAATTTTCCTGTAATTTTTGGACAGTATTTAGTGAGAAAGAACAAATCACGACTTCGACTGCTATCGAGAAGAAGGTTAGGCGTCTCTTTATACGACGGCACTGATTCGGTACGAGACTATAGTTCTCGGAGTTCGAGGAACGTAAGTTTAAACTTAGTGACTTGAATGCAAATAACTTAAGTTGTAGATAATTTTATTTATTAACTTTTAGGTTGTAAATTTTTTGTAACTTACATATGTCCATAATTGTTTTTGTAGAGAGAAGTATATGAGGAGACTGAAGCTACTTCTGGAACGGGGATTTCGTTGTTAAGTATTCCAGACAAGAAGAAAACTCGGATGAGGCAGAATGCTATACTGATAACTGATATAGCAGGTTATTTCTTTAATTTTCATTCAAGAAATGAGGATGCGCAAAAACTATTCTAATCCTATTTTTTTGTCAGTCTTTGTTTTTGGAAATGAAATTTAACGGTTAAGCAATATTTTTTTATAGCTATGAGAAGTGACAAAACACCACAATGCCTCTTACAACTTCCGATTTCGGTTTGCCCTTTTTCATATCCTATTGTTCTGATAAAACTAACAATAATATCATTATGGTTAGTTACTAAATCGACCACAATCGCTCTTACCGTAATATGATTGCTCGTATAATCTTTTTATTCACTTGGCAAGAGATAGGATCCAAAACATTTTATAAATATTCAAATAATGCAGGTGATCACAGAACAACGTATTCGTGTCACAACGACGGTACGTCAATTATGGCTCCATTCAACAATTTACGTCTATTCTGCCAGTGAGCTGGGACATTGCAATATTGAAGAACTCGAGAAAATGCTTGTAGTAAGTGTTTAACTGTTGTTTGTGTATTGAATTGGAATGGAAATTGAACATTGGATGCACTTCAATTGAAACTATGAATTTATGAATATTACACATAGAAATAAATTTTTTTTTTCCCAATTACGTCTTTGCAATATGATTTAATTGCTATTGTCTATTGAATTGGTGGAAATTGAAATTGGTCACTGGATACAGAAAAAACGCATTTAACACTTCAAACGATATACTCTTTACCAAATGTTGTTGACAGTATAAAAATGAATGCATACAAATTTTTTGTAAATTAGGCAGATTTGTTGTATAATTTATAAAATAGTAATTTAAACATTGTTTATGCTGCATTTGTAAGTTGAAATCTGGTATTCAGTGTTTAAACTTTAGAGTGCACCGATAATGAATCGCGAGGTCAGCGAGACAAAATGGGATAAAAGGCCACTAAATTTGAAAGAAGACATATTTGTCAAAAATAATATAATTAAAATAAGACGATCAACATTATTTTGTGATTTGCAAGATGGTAAACAAGTTATAGCAAGTGATCGTCGTACTTATGATAATTTATGTCCAGCAGAAGTAACTAATATTGCTCAACGTGAAGTTTATGGGTTAGTATATCAATTTGAACAGTTTTGAAAATCGTTTAGTATAATATTAACGCCTATTTTTTAAGTTTTAAGGTACCCTTAAAAATTATGAAGGTCTTTGTTCATATAACTTCTCTGAAATTCTCTGAGATTCAATACGTCTATATTTCTTTCCTTTTCTCTTCATTAAACATATTATTAAGAAAAAACATTTAACCTATTGATTTCAGTAATGATGGATTGATGTTGCTTTTTCTGTAAGACAATCTGTAATCTTGATAGAAATATGGATTTGCTTTAGTAATGTAGCCTTGAGACCACAGTCAATGTTAAATATTACCTTGATCTGTGGTGAACGGCGATCCATCAACGGCAATATTCGACTGATCGAAAAGCTGATTATCACTTTGTCCAGTAGCAAAGAACCCGAAGCAAGCCATCGTTTGCAACGTCAAATTGAAGAACGAGTAATTAAGCCAGAGAATTATCATCTACCAATACAATACACTGAGGAAGTACTGATTGGACAGCGTCGTATTGATATTACTCGTGAGGCAGAGATTAACCCTCCAAAAGGATTAAGTGAGTTTTTGACCGCTGGAGAGCCGCAAATATTTGAATTTGGAGAAATACGAAAATATGGCGATTTTGCGGAATCATGTGAGTGTTCTTAATTTTAAAAAGTTCCAGGTCGTAAGTTATTCTTAAATAAATTGAATTAAATGCCTATTTAATGTAGAACTTAAGTCAATCAATGATCTGTTAGCTTTGATAATTTCAGAATATTACGGATATCAAAATGAAGTTTTTTGGTATTATAAAATATTGTGCATAATCAAACACTACTTTCTTCCATATTATCTTTTGATAGTTTTTAAACTTGCGTTTAACAAACACCAATCGCTAAATTAAACGCAAAAATTTATGCAGAATTTGAAGTTCTGCGTGTTTAGCTACTTAAGAAGGTAACTTACAATATCAAAAAACTTAAATTGATCCATTTATATAAAATGTATATTGAAAGATGATATTTTAATTAGTAAAACAATGTGTTACAGACGAAATTGTGGACTGATCAATTACATTCTCATCGAATTCTAGGTGATAATAATAATGCTTTTTTGGACATAATCAGCTTATTCGTAGATGTCAACCCACAACATTCCTCGAGACATTTCATAGTGTTGAATCTTGACTGCTTATTTACTTAAATCATTATGATATAGAATTGAAATATGAGGAAAATAAATTTATAAGCTATTTCCTCAGTAGTTGAAAATCAAAAATTGAGAAGTAAAATTATAGATAATAAAGATAAATATTTATTATTAGACGTTTGTCATTTCGAATCAAGAATTCGTCTAATAGTTTATAGAATTACAGTGAAATTCTTTGAAAGAGTGATTGCCATACAATGTTACTGCACAACCCATACAATCATTTTTATTCGTTGATTTTGTCAGAAACATCTTTTGATGGCATGGAGGAGAATTATGTGCACAGAACTATTAATCTCAATAAGGACTTTATCTTAAAGCATTTCATAGTATCGTTGTCTTCTATTTCATTTCAAATTTATTTTCAGCATCTCAATCGTTTGGTCACATTCCATCAAGTTATCCCATCCAGCGCTCCCTGCCATCATTTTCAACAGTTGGACAGATGCGCCAGGTTAAAGAAACGAAACCGGAACAATTTTCATCTAGCTATGTTTCCAGGTATTTTATTACATTTTCTAATCTTAGTACAATCAATTTTGTATTAAGCGAGTTTTTTCAGTATGTTGAAGGAGCAATGGACCATTTAAGTTAGATGAGAAGGAAAACTTGACCGATATTAACAAGCAAGGGACCTCTGTAAAGAGTGAATTTGTTCAACTCTGAGTTACTCAAATTCTTTTATTCCAACAGAATTTAACAATTTCTAGATATCGATCGCAATCATCTGAGGCAGATGAACATTTAAAAGGTAATACTGTTGACACATAAAACCGCCTGACACATCTTTTGGCACGTTAACTTTATCTATTAAACCGTTTCTAAATGCAGGATTCAACAAATATTTAACCATTATAGAAAATTATAAATTGCGTAATGTTCTTATCACAAATGACATTTTGAATAAATTACTAATTTTTCAGAACAAATACCAATACAGAAATTTCACCCAGAAACCCAGATTGAAACGCAGGTTATACAAGTAAAAATTCATTTCCGCAAATTCTAAAGTTTCTTTAAATTTTGATGAATCTTCAAAAATATGAAAATGGTCCTAAGAACCTAATATGTTATTACTTAGTATATTTTAGGGAGTAAATGCTACTGGAATACCAATCATAAACAGCACTGCAGAATCACAAGTAAGCTTTTTTAAAACCAATAGGTTTGGATCCCATGGTAAAGCTTTGGAATTTTATATTATCCGCTTTCCTTCTAAACTTTAAAATTTTAAAATATTAAAAAAAAAAAAACATAGTTTGTGATAGGACTATTAGTAAATTTAAGTTTCAGCTGATGAAATAATGCAAGAATGATCAACCACAATTAAAATGCTTTTCATTTATTGCAGGTGTCTACCAAACAAAAACAACTTATTGATAGTGCAAAGCGAGAAAAAATAGGTTGAATGTTTATTGATCTTTTTTTGTTAAAAATTTTAAATGCATAGTAATTTCTAAAGATTCAGGAATTTATGCAAATTTTTATTAACATTCAAAATCATATAAATTGAAGATGCCCAGAAATTTGCCCTGCATTATCTGATAAGCTACTACAATAATCATAATCTACTGCAATCTGCAGATTTGCGATCAAAAAAGGCACATTCACTACGTCGTGGTTTACGACGTTCAAGCCGTTGGAGTAGATTTGCACTAAGCAGATCTCAATCCCATCCAAATTCTACAGAGTCTATACGGACTGTACCTGCCACTTTCAGCCCGTTGGAAACCTCAACACCAATTAAGAAGGTCATCGAACCTTTTAATATTTCAGTGTAGTGATTGATTGGTACATTCATTAAACAAACATTTTTTAAACAACTCGACTTATTCCAGAATATCTAAAAGTGTAAAACTTTCAGACCCCTACAACGGCAAAAGATTTGATTGACCGGAACAAATTTCCGATGAAGGAATGCGTGAAGACATCAAAAAGTCAAAGTTCAGGCACTGGAACACATATACGCTCCACTCTTGATTGCGATATCACACGTGAGTTTCATTTCAATAAATATTTAGTCTAGGACAAAGCAAGATCACTTTTTTTATAGATGATCATTTCTTCACTAATATTGATTTATTTTGCGATTGAGTAGTAGGTTAATCTAATTTCTAGATCAATAACCACATAATTACTGCTAATAACTACGGTATGATGACGTCTGCAAATATAATGATATTACTTGACTTGATGAATCTATTTTAATTAATTTGTAAATCATTTAATTACAGCGGTGTACATTTAAAGAAAAACTTTGGCAAAGAAATCGCAAAATATTTCAGTAAGTACAACCAAAGAGGTGAATGTGACAGAAATTCCAATTGAAATTAAAGGGGAGCTAAATGGTTTGCCGTGGTGTACAACGATCCGATTACGAGTAAAGCACGATGCTAATGAGAAGCCAACTTTTATTCCTAATCGATGTAAAATGTTCTAAATTTTATAATTATGACATTCACCCGTCCTTCTTATTTACCTCTCCATGTCTTTTTCTTTCTGTTCCTGTTCTAAATACAATGATTAACACAAAAGGTACTCAAAAATATGTGATATGTTAAGAGCGATAACGACCATTTCAGAAAGCCAAACTGCTTAGTCATCTTGGAAAAAAAATCAAATTACAAACTAAGTTTCAATCCTTTTTTCAACTTAAACTTCATTTAAAACATTCTATCGTTATAGATTATCATATTATTAAATATGTTTTATAGCCTTAAAAAAAAAAAAAAAAAAAAAAACGTTTTTAGTATCACTCAATCACAACGTATTGTGGCAAAATGAGAATTTACAAAAAGAACAATCAAAAGATGCGACTACTGCTGTAAAGAAATAAATCTGATAAATCATCGCCGACTAACTGTATGTATCTTATGACGTCGTTACTGGATTACACTAAGCTAATGCTCCACTAATAAAAATGATTACTTGGTCACACGTTACATGTCACAGTAAATATTTCGACAATTTTTACTCAATATTAGATTAGTTCAATTTCAATTTCGTTCCACCCCTTTTTCCAATTATTTCTCATGAATAGCAACGAAAATAGATTAAAGATAATAGAACCTTTCTAATATTAAACTACATTTAACTAATAAAATAAGAAATTCTGTAAAAAGAAGTAAAAAAAGATCAACAAGGACACTAAAAATGGCACGAAGGAATGGATGAACTGCTAAATATTAAATAAATTAGTTTTCAAAAGAGTTCGAGAATTTATTTCTCTCTCTCTCTCTCTCAAGCTGAATTCATTATAGCATTAACGTCACCTATACATAATGTTCAAATTCCAGAAGAGATGTTGAGGATACAGGCCTATTCTCATTAATCGTTAAGCAGCTATTTCGCATATTGTAGTTTTGATTAGCCATATGATTCATGGAAGAATATGGTATCTGAAAAATGCATTACTACTTCTTTTAGGAAAGAAATTTCATCTCTTCTTCTATGAATTGGAAATGATTATATGTTTTTAAATCACATATTTTTTACCTGGACGAAGTGCTGTGAATTTTGCTGCGGAATAGTATTTGGTAAACTAGGAACTTGGGCGTTAACTTCGCATGGGACATGTGAGCTCAGGTTATAGTATTCCTTAAAGTGATCAAAGAAACTGGAAGAATTCGACGAATTTGAGCTTTCGGGTGTCATCGCAGTTGTATTCAATATCATCTCCAGCGGCGTAGGTGATATTGTAACGAGTCGTGGCTTCTAAATTTTTCAAAATAAATATATTTTTATCATGAGCAACTTTGAAAATCTTTGAAAAAAACTTGATGACAAAATTCACGAAATTTTTTACATGTGATATTTGTAAGAATTACCTTCACATTTCTGCTTTTTGATCTTCCATTCCCATTTGTCACAGAGTCGTTTTGCATTCGAAGATTTCTGAAGTATTGAACCACTTCCCGGTATTCTTTGTAATTTGCAATTTCTTCTGGTGTTTGATCCATATTATCAGGAATGTATCGTCGAGCGCCAGCGGTCACTAACATGTGAACCATTTCAACATGTCCCTGAGAAGCAGCCAAAAACAGTGGTGTTTGTCCCTGCGAAAAGAAACTACTGCATGGAGACAAATTTAATCGTCTTAGAGAAAAATAAATATTGTATTAATGTCTCGTACAATATTTATTAAAAAACTAGGGTTTTCAATTTTTTGATAGGTAATTTTGAAAATAAAACTACTAATAAGCAGTTAAGTAAGCAGATTATATAAATGAAACTGTATTGCGCCCGTGTCACTTTAACAGTTATTAGATAATCACATTACCATGTGATCCTGAATATTCAAATTAGCGCCTCTTTCCACCAAATATCTTGCCAATTCTTGATTACTTTGCATTATGGCATAATGAAGTGCTGTTCTGCCCTTGTACATTTCACCATTGACATGATTACCAGTACAGTTAATATCAGCCCCCGCATCGATCAATAGAGCAATTGCCTCAGGATCTCGATAGCCAAGCTTAGCCACGGTCATCAGAGGACTACAGTCTGCATCATCGATCGCATCTACCTTAATAAGCATGAAATCAAGTGAACTACCCTGAACTGCAAATATATCTCTGTATTTTTGTTGAAAGATGAACTAAATGGATCACTCATTCAAAACAATCAATCTTAAATTTTGGCAGCAATTTTTTGGGATTAATTTTGAATTTAAAATATTTTCAAACTGAAGACAAAATAAAGAATTAAAGTTGGGAACAAAAAATTTCCATAAATTAAAACATGCCTCTATCTCTTCCGTTTCAAGAAGAATACGAATAATATCGGCTGCATTTATAGAAGCAGCGTGATGTAATGTTGTACGACTGTGAATATCTGATATTGCAGTATCGGCACCAAATCGCAGCAAGCATTTCACTACTTCAGCACGTCCTGCTTTTATGGCCATAATTAACGCCGTCTGACCACAGTCATCGACAGCATCGACAAGAGCTCCAGCTAAGAACAAATTCTCTACATCCGTACAACTGATCTCCTCAGCCTTTTCCTGATTCAAAGCTGTTAGCATCAGTGCGGTTTTTCCATCATTACTTTTCGTATTAACAAGCAATTTGTCGATCTGAATCTTGGTTGCAATTCATTAGACATCTTAATTATCAAACTATTAATAATTCAGAAATAAATAATCTGAAATTGACGAATGATCACATTTGTTGAAAAGATAAAGTTAATTGAGGAGTAGAAACTGAAAAAATTGTTATTAATTACTGAGTAATGAAAACTAAATATGATGACTAGGTCATCTCCATGTAATGACAACAAGAAATTGGAAAGAAGCTTATTAAAATACTAGTTTGTCAATAACAGAACCACATATATTACAATGTTTCTTATAATTTTCTATACTTTTATTTTTTTGACTGCAGTTTTTAAGGCATAAAAGAAAAAGAAATACAAAAGTGAATGAGTTTTCACCGGAGTTTTGATTGCAAATGAATCCATTGCCTGAGTATGAAGCACAGTCCACTTTCTTTTGCATATTTTTTCTTCTTCAGGATCAGGAATCACACAAACTTCGATAAAATGATGCTTTTGTTCATCTTCGTTAACTTTTTTGCTTGGTATACCATTACTTTGGATATTTCCATTACTCTCTTTAAACAATTTTAGCGGAAAATCTATAAATAAGTTTGTTTTCCCCTTCTATCTTAATAAAAAAGTCTCTAAAATTACAACATTAGTTTGTCAGGAAATACAAGGTTGCACCAACGACACTTACAATCATCCAGAGTAGGTGGGAACCACGTCCCGACCACATGAACCTTCTTTTGTAGTTGTCTCGTAGTATTTCGATGCTTTTTGTGAAGTGTAAATAAGATGGCAATCACAAATGTTTGCATCACAAAACCCGAAAGCGTATAAACCATCCACTTCTTCCAAATTGTGGTACTGGATGATAGCTCAGCTTCAGCAGCGTGTATTCGTGCACCGACACGCCATAGCAACTGGAATACACGTGTAACTTTCATTTCAAATCACTGTTAATCCTGGATTCTTCATAACTTACGAGTAATTTTTCGTAGCAGTACAAATCATTAATCATTAATTTTGCTTTTTTGACAACTAAATTATCCAGTTCAAACATTATCCTACCTGGTTTGCGCTCATTGCACCTACGAAATTAACGGCTTGTTCAATATTACTAATTTGATGTTGACAGTTAGCTCCTTTGCGACATTGTGCTGTTTCAACATTTAGGTATACCTTTGTACCATGCAATCCTGAAGGGAAAAAAAGTTTTTATTTCCCAATGTTTGGTTTTTCAAGTGTTTTAAAAAATCAATATGAATTTTAATAAGCTCAAACAAACATGAACTGATACATTCTGATCTGATAAAATATTAACGAAGTGAAATATATTAAAAATTAGTAAATTTAAGAAGCTGAACTAAGGCAAAGTCATCTTTACCTCAAAATTTAAAACAAACCATCTGTTTTCAACCTTATATTCTACATGAATATCTTACAAACGATTAAGATAACAAAAATCCATCAATAAAATTTAGACATTGTCAACCTTTTGCATCTGATTTCCATGAATAAAGTCGTTTATGATTATGCCGATCAACAGCAATAGTAACTCTCGCTCGCATACCTTGGCTTAGGATGAATTGCAAGACAGGTGCGCGTTTCAGAAATTCATCTGACTTCATAAGGATTATTAAACTCAAAGCTCCTTCCAACTAAAACGAAATATCAAAAGTTATTTCTGCTTTAAAAAAAGTTAATAAGTAATTACTGACTTTAACTATTGATGGTACAAACGCAGTATGATGAAGCATAAGTTTTTTTACATCAATTAATTGCGATTGAAGGTCAGCTTAAATCGTGTCACATATCATCAGATTTTGAGATATAGTAAGCTAACTTCAATTGATGCTAAAATGGGAACTGATAGCTTTTATCAATACTATCTATATTGATGAAGTCAGAGCCAATATTTACCCTGGCATTATTTCGTGCTACTCTTACTATAACGTGAACTCAGAAACGTAATTAGCGTATAACATAACCTTATTATACTTAATTTCCTGCGTGCAATCAACGCCATCAAAATAGCACTCTTCAGTAAAGCATTCATAATCGCAATATCCGTCATTGAAGCGAGCGGAACAGTAATCTTCAAACAAACATGTTTCGCTTTTTTCGTGACAATCGAATCCATCCAACAGACATTCAAAACGATCACATACCTTAATAAACCAAAGATGATTTTAACCAAAGAACAATGATGCCAGTGACCCACATACAAGCAATTAGTGAATCAGCATCTCTTCTTTTGAATAGAGTTAACATTGTGAGACTATTCTGAAATTTGACGGAGAAATTCTGAGGAACAATTAAAAGCATTGTTTGTATTTGCAGTCATTACGAACCGAATCGCATTTATTATCGTGGAATACTCGGCCGCAAAAATCAGAAAATGGACAAAGCCGAAACGGTTGTAAATGAGCAGTGCAATCGAATCCATCATACTGGCACGATGGATAGTTGCATTCTGAATCACATATATTGTTGTCAGCTTTTGATGAGCAATTATGAAGCAAACAAATCTGCTCCTCAAATAACTCTTCGAGATGATTATTTTCTAGTGAGATACGATGCTGCTTGCACATCCGACCTTCGAAACCAGGTGGGCAGATCTTCTCACAATTAGTGCCATAAAAAGCTGAAAAATCCATATAAATAGTTGCAATGTGCTTAATAATTCATTTATTAGTCACTTATTAATTAAAGTTAATTAGTCAACCATCTATTGATTATTGAAAATTATTGAAATATTAATGTTAAATTATCAACTATTTGATTACGGAATTACTTCTAACAGATATACAGATGATATTTACTCAATTTGCAAAATTGGATTAAAATAACGCAAATAAAGATTTCATTGTTCAAAAAAATTGGGGACAGAAAAGTTTGAATTACTATTTTGACAGATGCATTCATAACGATTGCCATAGTCGAGACAAGATGCGCCATTAAGGCACGGATTTGGCTCGCATTCATTATCATGGATCATGCAGTAAGGATCATTATATCCTAGAGGACAATCGCAGTACCATGAACCAAATGTGTTCACACATATACCACCATTGAAGCACAATTTTTCATTCTACAACAAACAAAATTCAAACTAACTAACTGCTCACACATTATTTTAATAATAAAAAAAATACTTTAAAAAAGTAGGGAAATACAAATATTTTTTATTTTTAAAATATATTTTTTGCTCTTCATTTCGTTCATCTGTAGCTGCTTGCCTTCCCGATTTCAAATTTGACTGTAAAACTGAAACTTGGAACCTCCAAACACTCGTTTATATCAGTGGTGCAGTTTTGACCTGTGGTACCTTTCATGCAGTTGCAAGAAAACTCGCCACTAGCTGTGTCCGGAATGCACTCGGAACCATTTCCACACGGTTTCTGCATACAAGGGTCATCCAAATGACAAAATAGCCCTGAGTAAACAATAAAACTCTCACGAATACCTCAAAGCATCCATTATACTACAATCACTCAATGGAAAATCTCTGTGGGATTCCTTTTGGAATGCACTGAAGTGTGGGAAGATTATCGAATATTGGTCACTAATATGTGTGAAAAGTCATTACGCAAAGTTAACCTTGACCAAATTCATGTCATAATTAGACTCGTATTAAATAAAACAAACCAATTCTTCCTGGCGGACAAGCGCAAGTATATTTGGCTATACCATCAATACAGGTACTTCCAATAGCACATGAATTTTCTATGCAGTCATCTTCGTCTCTTGAACAGTTCTTTCCGGAATAACCGTTTAGGCAAACACACTCGTAGTCATTAGGACCAACATTTACACATGTTCCACCATTTTCGCACAAGTTATTGCTAGGTTTTTCACAGTAACTTATAACTGTGTCCTTTTGGATAAAATTATTTCCTGAAATTTGACTTATTTAATTTCAGCTTAATTACAAGTTGATTTTAAGATAATCAAAGTATTAAAGCAGAAAATTTTATGTAAAATAAGGTGATTTTAAAAGTGTAACTATCGTAATCACAGCAAATATGTGTGGACTGATTTGTGCTGCGTAATAAATCAGTACAAAAGGTTTTTTTTTTCAAGTTAAGAAGTGAAAGTAGGATCGAAATATTGTAAATTTAATAAATCACCTGCAAATGTAAAGTAGCATTGGAAGAGTGTCACTGTGAGAAGAAGGATAAACATATTTGTGATAAAGATTAGTTAACGAATGAACAAAATGAAATAATTGCGGCTTGAAGGACTGAAATATTTTTCTTTCAGGAAGATTATTAAATGAAAATAATTTCGAAAACTTGAAACTTCAAACAAAGAAGTATTGAGAAGGGCAAAAGTTGAAAAAACTGAAAAACGGTAGAAAAATCAAGATTTCTCTAGAAGCGAACAAGCTAATAAATATGATCGTGTTTGCGCACTCTAAATGCTGGGTACTGATAAGGAAATAAATCTGTAAGGTAAATTCCTTAGCTGATAAAAGATGCAATTAATTAAATGATAGATATTGGTGGGTAAAAATTCTCTTGCAACCTTCTTCATCAGCACATATTTCAAAACAGTCGAAGATTGATACCCTTCTGATACCTGACATTCTGTTCAGAAAGTGAACGAAGGAAATTGTCGTGAAGAAGATCAAATGAAATGGATGTCAATCTCAAATTGTTGTGAATGCAACGAACAATAATAATAAGTTTTCGTGACCTTTAACATAATCACTACAAGCCAATTAACTAGAAGAGAAGACCCGAAAATGTTTGTAGTATTTTTTTCCCCTTAGGTTACTGTTTCATTGTTTCATTCATAGACTTCTTCAGCTTTTCTCAAAGTCAGATTATATCACCACTATGTGAACTTGATGCTTATCCGCCACGAAGTAACAAAATGTATTTAATAATTCGACAATTTAAATTTTTTATTCGGAAATGGTGCAAGGATTACAGGAATTATGGCAGGCGCACAGAGAAAATTGTGTTTCAAAACAGTATTTAGTTAATTAATAGAAATACTTTACAATCCCATTATACTTTATCAGTATTTGCAATTTGAAGTTGCTTAATATTTTTTCCTTGCTGTTCTTATTCCACATTCTTTATTTTTTGGATATCGTTTCTGAAACATTTTTTTTTACAGAGCTATTAAAATACTGGTCAATTTTCTAATGATTCTCGACATCTTTCTCACAATTCAACTCGCACTTAATTTTTGTTGAGCTTTATCTACTTGTTTATTAATTGGAACAATGCGGACACAAAATACTGTCAGAAGTTTCTCTGGAACTATTGGAAAGAACATAATGAGATGAAACACGATAATATGTAATCTCATCTTTTTCATGAATAAAGAAAGTAATAAAAATGTAGTTCACTGTTTCTTTTGATTTCGGCTTTTTTAATTTGAATGAATAGCAGTATTGAAATGATGGAACATAGTAATGAAAGTTTATTGATATACTGTAAAATAATTCTATTAAAAAAATTTGCTATAATGTTAGAAGTATACCCATTCTGCTTCTAATGGAATTTTGTTCCTCTGTCTTAATACCGAAATCCTCAGTTGTTTTCTCTTCATCTTCCAAAAAATAAATAAAATTGCCATTTTCATCGATGGCACAGCAACGACAACACAAGCAACATTCGCATAGTACACGCCATGGTGGACAAATGCAGCATAGCATCAGTATCGGTACTGTCAAAATGAATGCTATATCAATTAAGTAGAAACATATTGATATAAAACATGAGACAAGTATTATCACATTTGAACTCTAACTGCTCTCAAATTTGCCCGGAAATGTGACATTTTATATAAATGTAGCATGCAGTGATGGCTGTATATGCTTAGTGATTTGATTTCAGTGATCATTTGTTATATTCTTTAATGCAACTTTTCGAGAGGAAGTTATTTGTCAATATGAATAAACAACATACCGGTAGCTATAGCCGTTAAACTGAGGACCATAAGAAGAAAGAGCACAAAGGGATTGAAGCGCCGACAGCATGCCAACATTTTTGTTTTCGGCTCACATGGCGAAAATTTGAACATAAAATGAGACCTGCCTTTATAATAACAGTTTATCGAATCCTAATTAGAAAATCATTTATACCCTTTTTAATCTTGCCAACTCATTACTTCAATTCAGTCTAAATTAATTTAACTTATTTTCCTCTTCTCTATACTCCGCTTCACTTCATCGTGTCACATTCTTTGCCACATTTTTAAAATTTTTTCTTGTTCCATTCTTTTTTTTTGCATTCCTATACTTATTTAATCCATTTTTATCATTTCATTTAGCTTTAATTCATGCATCTTCATAGAATATTAGAAAGTACACAATTAAACAGTCTAAAGAACGAACATGGCCCAAAATGTGACGTCCAATCTTTTTCAGCATCCCAGTAGTCATCTACCTGAGTATTTGCTGCTCGGCTACAAATCGCAAGAAAAACAATGAAAGGCAACGCTTTAACAATATGCATTTTATGCCGGATTTTTCTATTTCAGTTTCTTTTATGCATTCACTGTTTTAAGAACTATTAAGCTGTAAAGGGTTTGAAATTCTTAACAGATTAAATTCAGAACCGACAAAATCTAATTAAATCTCATAGATTTGGACCGGAATCATTACATACAAAATTATCATAATTCAGTTTGTTTTGAACTGTCAGACGGCCATTCTTCTGAGTACTGCTGTCTTATTCGGATTCAAAAGAAAAAGCTATCAGTAGACAAAACTGTTCATTAACTATATACTTCAACTTCTATACTCTCAAATGCAACAAAAAAAGAATGATGCAACAAACTTAGTACAGAAACGACAACCGTTGCAGGAAGAAGTTTAAGAATTGCCTGCAAATAATCTATGGCAACTATATGTAGCTTATAATACTAAGTCATTACAATACATTTTTGCATATTACCAAATGACAATTTCTCTCTCTCTCTCTCTCCCCCTTCCTCTCTGATAAATCTTCTCATCTTGGAGACATTCAATACTTCAGCCTTCAAGCTCTTTAACATATGCAATGCGAGAAAATATACTCTGGCAAACACCACATACCAACTCTTACATCATGAAACTCCAGTTTCCACTCTCGACAACCTTCGAAACTAAAATTCACTAATCCCTACCCTTAATTAAAATCAAAAGAACTTCCGACTCTATATCGAGATGCAAATAAAATTCAGCATTTCGAATTATCGCTACCGAATAACAATTAGTGATGACAACAGACTCAGTAGCTTTTCCCTCAATTAGCTTCCCCAGGTTAAATATAAAGCTTGAAATCATTAATTTATCAACAACACGAATTTGTACTGCAAAAAATAGAAAACCATATACAAAAATACAAATCCAATGCATATACAAAAGTTATAGAATAAAACAAGTACAATATTTAAAAACTTATAAAAAACCAATATGAAAACCACTGCAAACAATATTACTTAAAAACGCTTTCAAAAATGTACTGATATACATTACCGGAACAAAAAAATTTTTTTTACTTCTAAATTTCGGTTAAACTCAATACAAATTTTACTTGACTGATCCAACTGAAACTTTCAAGAGAGCACTGAAAAGAATTCTTAACTATGATTTTATACATGAATCCCAGTTTTTGAATACATGAAGTCACTGTACATATAATTGATATTATAAAAACGTAATAAAGCGGATAAACAAAGAAAACATAACACATAATCATTCACCATCACTATGTTTTAAATTCTTCATCAAGTAAATTAAAACTACAATATTTGAAAACATCAAGAAGTAATAGGGAACAAAAATTTTTAATTTAAATTACGAATCCATCATTTCTCATAACAAGACGCACAATAGTAATTACTAACTCGCCGTTTTAACGGCAAACATTTAGAATGAAAATTTTTATGGCAGCGATTACATCGTACGCAATCATTCGCATTCAACTCCAAACCTGGCTCACAGGCACATAGTACCTAAAAATATACAAATTAGCGTTTTTATTTTAAAAATGTTCTGCGATATAAAACACTTTAATTTCGATCATTCCATCACAGTAGTTCACATTTTCCTAAAATTTGAGACTAAAGCTAGTTATCAAAATCTTTCGACAGAAAGGTTTGGTACAACTATTTCAAAAAAATTTCATATTAAATAAAAGAGATCTTATTCAGAATGTATCCTTCCAATGTCTAAATTCCAATAAAAAATGTGAACCATACTATATCTTTGGACACTATTGACATCAAAAATACCTCTAATTTCTTTTATCAGTTTTGGAAATAGGAAGTGTATAGTAAGATAATAACTACTAAGAATAAATATTACGCATACATGTCACTAAACGACTTTGTCCTATGTCTCATTTGATTAACAACACAATTAGAAAATGGTCTGAAATAACTATTAACCCTTATAAAATCTTTCTCTTGTTGATGCTCCTGTTGTTGTAAGGGTGGATTCTGCGGTGCTACAAAATTCCGTGCCAGTTCTGCTTGCTGAAAATGAAGCTGTGGATTGACTGCATCGTCAATAAATGAGCCCTGAACAAGCACATCACGCGACGCAATAGAATATTCAGAGTAACTGGAGTGCGGGGTTGCAGTCCGAAATGAGCTTTCGTCTCGGAACCTACTCGCTGTAGCAGAATCTTCAACTACGTAAGGACTATGTTGAGATTTGGCAGCCATAGAATATTTCTGCTGCTCTTTCTTGTTATGCAACCTTACTGCGCTTGGTTTGTTGTATACAGGTACTTGATAGGAATGTCCCGGAGCAGTAAACTTCGATGATGCACTTGCAACTGATCCACGTGACTCAGAATGTACACTAGAGTGAAGTGAACTTCTATTACTTTGTGAAGATCTCGACCCAGAACTGGCCGAAGAATGACGTGAGGTCCAACTTGCTGCACGATCTTCAGGAGTAAGTACTTGCTGAGACGGAATTCGCGGCATTCTGAAGTCTCGAGATGATGGCGACACACGGGAGTGTGCTGGCACTGTTGTTTTAGGATTCTGAAAAGGCACTTCCTGCAGTATGCAAGATTCAGCAGGCGTCATCACAGAAATACCACGATCATCAGATATAATATAACTTTCCGAACGAGCTTCATAGTTTTGAGCATCATAAGGCTCTTCAGAAACCGGATTTTGCTGCAAAGTAAGGTGTGCATTTGCCAACGGATGATGAGGTGGTAGTCGAAACGGAACAGTTTCCTGGGATGAAACCGAATGCTGTGATGGACTGAGTGGAGCTGTATGGCCGCGGTAAGGCAAATCTTGCAATGTGAAGTCAGTCCGTACTTCTAGCGGTGGCGGTAGTGCAGGCGGCGGTTGATCATACATTCGTAATTCCTGTGATGAACTAGAATGACGAGATGCAATTTGTAAATGCGAACGGTAAGAGTGCTGAGATGGACTCCGTTTTACAACTTTGCCAGGAACACGAAACTGAGTTATTTCTTGAGAAGCTGGACGTGGAATGGGTGTTTGCAAAGCACTGCTTCTTTCTTGCAGAAGATTATGTGTCAGTTCAGCTAATGATCTAAAATATAGCGGTACAAGGCAAAGAAAAAAGTTCAGTATTACAAAAGATCATGGAAATTGAGCTAATGAAAATTAAAAAGTTTAATTGGAAAACTTGAATTTTATTGATAAAAAAGATCTATTAAAAGAATTTATAATAATTAACAAGATGAAACATGCGTCAGCTACTAATATCTTTAAAAAATTGCTTACGGAGCAATCCTTTTCAAACCATCTTGTAATTTCAATTTCTCAAGCAGCATTTCGGAATAAAACCACCGAACACTTTTGAGAACTACTTTAGCAGCTTGACCAGGAGTATTAGCGCCTTAAAAAAGTGATTTATAAAATTCATGATTTTAGAAATACAGCTTAAAAAAAGAGAAGATAATACCAATTCGTCGGTTCAATATTCCTCTTCCATTGTTTGACCAAGGCGAACAGAAAGGTATTTCAGGTGGCCAACAATCTGGTTGAGTGCCATCATATGGATCTGTCCATGGGAAATTAACGTGCATCATCATATCATCCAGCAAATCTTAAAATTTCTAAATTCTAGAAATACACAGAAATATAAAAAATACAATCTGTTTATTTTATTAGATGGAATACAGATAAAATAGGAAAAGTTAAATTACCTACATGATGAAGCCAACCTACGAAAAAGTTATCTGTTATTAATTACCTTTATACACTAATGTGCAGCTTTGAGCTAATTTTTCTAACAAACAAGCTAATAAAATGAAAACTAAACGCCAATCCGACAATGATGACATTGAAATTATTAAAACCAAAACAGCTGGAAAATTTATTAGTTCAATGGAACAGCCTACCTAATGCACGGTCTTCAGTCATTCGATCGACAACGGTGTCGTCGTAAAGTTGAAGCAAAGGCAGTGTTATGGCTTGCTAAAAGTTATTGTTAAAATGAAAATAATACATCAGAACAACATAAATATTTTTTTGATACTGCGCTGTGATAAAAGAATGGACAGCAGTCAAGAAATGCCTCAGCATAAATTTAGAACATTAAATGAAATACCAACATTATCAAAGCCGTTATTCATAGCCGCAGGCAAACAATGAGGTATGTTTGAACTTAAAAAGGCCGATATCAGGGTTTTGTCACCAGATAAGCTCAGCTTATTTCGTTCATCCGCGAAAACCACCAAAGTTCTGCACGTTGAATGACTTTGAATCTTTATGACTGATTCAAAAATCATCCGTACATCTGCACCCATTTGATCGTAACGGATTCGTAAAACTAAAACTAGAGTGATTATAAACTTTAAATTTCATTAGCAAAAGGAGTGCAAAACAATTTTTAGTCAAATAATTGGGCATTCATATACATAACAAATTTCCACAGATATTTACGCGAAGTATATAATACTTCATACTTCAGCTCACCTGAATTCCGAAAAAGTGAAAGCTGATCTTCCAAAATCCTTTCATTGGAAAGAGGTATTGCGGTAAAAGTTGAAGTAGCCGGAACATCACCTGCAGAAATTGCAGGATCGGAATACTGTTCACCGGCTTCATTACCTGGTGATGAATGAGGAGTTCCGGAAGTAAAGCCTACAGATGAAACTGGCTCTTGAACTTCACCCGACTGTATTTTTGCTGCTTCCACCTTTTGTATTTCTGATGCCATAACAGCTGAAAAAAATGACTAGTAAAACAAATAAAGATCGTTCTATATTGATAGAATTGACATTTATATTGCACAAAGACTTAAGCAGCTGATCGAAAAAGTAAAAAATGGCGAACTTTCTGCTTTTTGAACAACGGCATGACACATTCTAATCTCCGTGTATACGCATAACTTCATGAATTTAAAAAAAAAAAAAAAAAAACCTGAAGATTCTTCTGACAGCAAATTGACATTTACACCAATAGTGCATTGCCGCACCACTCGTGTACCTACATTCGTATCTCCTTCAATATTCCGCGAGTCTTCGTCATAATCTACAACATCAATTATGTCAATTAACGACATCAAAAAACAGTGCTCTTGCAAATTCAAATAGAAAGTGAATGAAATAAAGATTCGAAAACAATATCACTGTAATATAACAATGTAAAAAATCAAATTATAGGAATTTCAAGCAAATTAGATGATTGTTCAACATCTTTTGTTAAGCAAATATGAAAGATGTAAAATATAACAACTTTTACCTGGTCCAGAAAGTCCAAAATGATATTCCATGAAGCTTATATAATGTTTGAAAGCATATTTCAGAATATCTCTTTCAAGATCCACAATCGAATGCTTTTCAATTTCTGGAAAATTGAATCAACGGTTAAGAACATGTACATGAGAACCATATGCAATATAAAAAGTTAATGTTGCAAACTGCGGTCTAGGCCCATGCCTTTTCAACCCATAAAAAAAGTAAAAATTTAAACTCACCTTTTCGTTGTTTAAGATTGCTTAAACTAAGGAGATCGTTATTCGGATCGTAAAATGGAACAGACGGCGGCCAGTAATCTGGATTATGCGATACGCCAAACCATGGCTTCCAAGGGTAATGCATTGCTTCCAAGAATTTGTTAAGCATTGCACGTACATCAGAAGTGCTGGCAATATTAATTTCTAGGTTTGGTAAGCATCTAACCAACGGAATTGAAACAAGCTAAAAAATGAATGTAACTAGTTTCGTTTTATTTGATGCATCGAGTTGGAAAATTCAGCAAACAAAGATACCAATTTAAAAAAATGGAAATCAGTCAAATAATACTACAAAACATAAGTATGTAACTAGAAAAGCTATTCACTAAAGAAAAAGCAGCAATCTAACAAGCTTAAACAGTACTCCTCAACTGAAACTTTCCAAAAATGATTAAAATGAATCAAAATATAACCTCATCATCATCGACGCCTTCCTCATCAACCTCTTCCCGCTCTCTCCACTTATTTTTCAAATCTCTAATAATGGATGAGTGTAAACAAGCATCGACGATGTACTTACTACCATGCAATTTCAAATCACCGCCTCGACTCACATGAATTGTGGCAATTTTATTATCACTTAGTGCATTATACTGGGCAATATACAATTCTATTTTCTTTAGTTTCTCCGTCGCATCCTCTTCAGTGTATTTCTTCTCTGAAATTTTCTGTCAGTTTCCCTTTCAAATTTTGCTAAATATCTAACCTCTGAAAGAATGAAAAAAAGATGAACGTATTGACCGCCCAAGCTAAGTGAAGATTCTGCAATCTCAATGTGCGTCAGTTACCTGCAACATGAACGACACAACTCAATCTATAACGATTCGTAACCCAGAAAAGCACGCTTCATTAAGTTAGAATGTCTGATCATGCACGTGTGAATAAGAAGTCACCAGAAATGAAAATCGAATTAGATCAACGAAAACAAGTGGAACTTTATATAAGAATAACTGACTTTTTTCAGCGCATGGTAAAACGCCAGCTGGAGACACAAATGTAATATAATCTTGACCTGGTTTTGGATCCTCCGATCGCTTTCGCTTCTTTCCTGTAAATAAAGAGGCGAAATGTGTTTAAAAGACTGAATTGCACTCCAAAAATATATGAATTCATAAAGATATCTGCGCTTTCTAACAAGGAGTAGCAAACTTTTATTTCAGAAGAGAACTTACTTGGATGTCCAGCTCTTTTTTCAACGTCTGACAGGCCTTCTACAGAAGCAGAAAGAACGCTGGATGATGGACTGGAACGAGCTGGTGTCAAGATTGGTGGTCGACTGAAAAAAAATGCATAAATAACAAATACGGAATAAAGTAAAAATAGCATGAAAAAGCCTGAAAAAGGTATTGGATTTCATTACATGCTTTGAAGACATTTTAGGGAGCTTCGCTAAAGTTTCACTCATTACGCGACAAGAAAAAACTCTCCATATGCACGATCAAGATAACAATACAATAAACTATAATATAAAACTTATCTTTTCAAAACATATGATTAACTAGCAAATCAAAACCAACTTCAGTTGATCTGGAAAGCTTCGTTCAAGTGGTACACCTGCTCTGGCAATTGCCCGTTCTACTTCCTGCACTTCATAAGTTACCTTGGAATTATCAGAATCCATAGTACTATGCCCTTGCTGGATATTTTGTCGAACATCAGGCTGCCGCTCTTCTACAACTGTTGCTTCTAAAACACAACTAACATTTACAAACAGTCGATGTAGTCTTCGTCAAAAATTTGACAGGGGTGATAAGTAGATCAGCAGATCAAAAATCCGAGTTGGCAAAAGAAAAGAACTATACAGTCTTACAAAAAAAAAAAAAAAGACGAATCAATATAAACAACAATATAATGTCAGCATTATAAAATCACTTGCCTGAAGAAAAGACCAAAATAATATCGCCAACAAAAGGTAAAATGAGATACAATATAGAAAGTTCATTTTCTAACAATCTAACTCTCCGAAACATTACAACATTAGAATACATTTCGTACAAATGAATATATCCGTATTTTGAACCTAAACTCGAAGTGTTGGAGGAGCAATAAAACGATACCTGATGTAAAATTAGATGCAAGTGCCAATTCATTTGATGAATTTCTGGGGAATGCACTATTAGAAGTGTTATTTGTATTGCAGACCTGGTTGAAATTTGCAACTTTTCCGGCATTTTGCATGAAATTATAGAGAGATTCTTCTTCAAAATCATCCAGTTCGAAATCATTACCCACAATCTCCTCACCTTCACTAATTGCTACGTTCTCCAAACCACTTGTTGATGCGCCGTCATCATGTCGCCTTCAACATTCTATCAGTTTCAATGAATTATTTTAAAAAAAAAAACTGATATTAATAGACACACCTTAAATTCCTATATTTTAATTTCAAACTGAAAAATCACACTACAATTGACAATTTTAACGTCGCCAAAATTAATGAACCTCAAAATCACACAACATAAACTTACACAGAATTAGCATAGGTTGCTCCTTGTCCAACCCACGATCTTTTTGGTCGTACAACTTCCGCCATGTCAAAATCAGCAGTCTCTAGTTTCTTCCTAAACATTGAACTTAAAAAATGAAGTTTTGGTAAAGTGACTTACAGACAGAAGAGAAAGTTGCATGCTCGAAATATAGGAAGCATACTCATCGTTGTCGAGATTTTTCTTGCCAGCCATACGCTGTTTGAGATGCATTTGTCTTCTAATATATCTTGCCCGTAGGGCACCAAAGAGTGCTTTTACTTTATCCCACTCCGGAAAGGCAGATAAAATAGAGCCAGGACCATACACAGGAAAACCAGCTGCCGTTGCTTCCGAAATAGCTGCTTTTCGTCCCTTAACAGTGTATACAGAAACATACTTAGAACTCTTATGAAATGTATCTTCAGCTCATCAATTAGTGGATTAAATTGAGAAACAGCTAAGTTTCAGATTTGATATTATTTGCGATTTCGGGTGATACATTCGGGTAAAGCCTTTCTATTTGGTTAATAACAGCCAAAAAATTTGATGTGTCAGCTTAAAATAAACGTATCATGCAAAAATTTTCAAGTAATTGCAGTACCAAAAGCTTCTGAAATGAATTGCGCACCTTTTTCCAAGCTTCTTTCGGATTCATTCCCATGATTATATCTTTTCGGCAACGTCGTTCAATTTCTTTCGCTCTGGCTTCCACTAGTCTTATTGGTTTACAACGTTCATGATGTACAGGATACAATTGGCTAACAACAACGCCATCTACCATTTTTATACGTGCAATTTCACCTGGAATCTGATTCAGAGATATATTTTTAAGTGAACTGAATCTTTCAAATAGCAAAATAGTTCACCGCTTTTGTAGGTTTGGTGTAGAGTATCGCAGCGCGAACATCTGAAATGTATTGTTCGTCCCGATTTTGAATGAGATGCATGTCTGTACAACCGAACCTCATCCGGATTGAGAGGTACTGTTAATGAAGTTTGCTTGAAGCGGCGTGAAAATGAAAGATAGTAAGGAGAATTTGGCGGAGCTCTAAAAAGACTAGCTTGAATTTGAGATATATTAATATCAACTTATACATTCACTAATCTATAATTCTACCACACTCACAAATGTAATCTTCCATTTTTCACTTGTGTGAAAAGAGATAAGAAAATTTATTCTCATATGTAGACACATAATTATCGTAATAAACTTCGATGTACCAATATTTGAAGTTATTCAATCTTAATATTTTTATTTTTTGTATTAACCTAGCTCATAGCTACAACATACTAACAGAATATTTTCATAGAAATACGACGAAAGCATCTGCAAAACTCTTATGTAATTTTTGCTAGCGAAATGTATCATAATTCCCTTTTATATTACACTCAGTAAATAAAAAAAAAAACTAACACAATCGGAGCATTGACACCAGGAATTAGAGCTTTATTCACATTGTTCGCCAAAAATTTGATTCTTCCATTTTCTCGCAATGATTGATTAGTATCTGTACCGTCACCACCAATTTCACAACCACACCTCGATTCAACACTGTTTTCTACGCACTGTGCGTCCTACACATAAAATCCAAAATAAATTCACTAACATAAATGAGTACGACTATCCTTTTCTCAAAAATTTTCCATAAATGTTTACAACATTTTTACCACTCACTGATTAAAAAAATGTTAGACAGTATGAACTGCCGATACATGTTCAGCATTGAAAGACTGAATGGTTTTGAGTATGTGAAAATTTATGTTTACAATTAATTCAAAAAAAGCTCATTTTATAATCACAATTCCCTTCCTTTGCTCATCATATTCTCTTTATTAAGATAACGACACTTCGATTCTACCTTACAATCAAAATAGCCCTTTATAAATACAGAAGCGAAAGCTTCCATATCACCATCTTCAAAGTTCAAGAATTAAAATAATAATAACAACGTATTTCTTTTTGCGACATGATAAAAAATTTTGCAGCTAACGAAGTCATAAGAAATTATGGTGTTACAGATATTTGCTTTTTATGAGAATTCCAAAAAATCTGCACTTTTAAATACTGACAAACGTAAGTGCACTGAATTGTGAAAATGCTTAAGCTAAATCCATAAAAATTATTAAAAACATCCAAGAGTACATTAAAATATTTGCAACTCAGAGAATGATCATGACATTTCCCTTCTATGATTAACAAAAGGATCTGCCGATTTTACTGGTTCATATCGGCTATTTCTTTCCCCAGCATTCCGGTAAAGTTAGTTGATAAAAACCCAAATAACTTCATTTACAATAAACCTGACTGAATTAATTTTCATGAATGCTTTATATAGATGTATAAACACACACATGATTTGAAAAAAGTAGCTAGGATGAGCGATAAAAAGCAACGGACAAAATTAAAACTCAAAGCTGACTCACCAATTCATCCAGCATTCGGCTTTTCACTCTCACTGTTGTTGTAGATACTGGACTACCCGTTATTTTTTTGATCAGTTCTGCACCTTCACGTGAGTTAATTTTCTGATTTCTGTAGTCACGTAAGACATCTCTCACTCGTGGATGCCGCCAATCAACAGAGCATGGTGGACCTGAAACATATGTCACGACATTCTGAAGGAACTACATTCCTATCAAGTCAATCCAGCTATTTGAAATTCTTGAATACAATATTGTATTAATCAAGTTAGCAAATGAGCAATAAGAAATCGGATGAAATATTACGATAAGTTCGAAATGAAGGTGGCGTCCACACAGAAATAGCATTACGACTCTGCAAGCCATTGTTATCGTGTCTTTCCTCAATATCATCTCCTATAGGACCTGGTTCCTGTACCACTCGGTTGGTACTCAATCCCAATGCACCTTCACCATTTTGATTAGCGCATTCCACAGTACTGTAGTTCATCATATCATAGCCTCTGGTTCGTGGAGAATGCCCTACATAACGGTTACTGGCAGAATAATCCGCTTGACTTGTTTCACTAATGGATGCAGTATCCTCTCCAAAACTTTGAGCCGATCGGCCTGAAAAAAAAAAAAACAGTAAACAGTTAGAAGCGCGGTACAGCAATTCTCAATCAGTTAGCAATACTTGGGGCTAATAATTTGAAGAGATTTCTTTGAATTGTTCATCTCGAATTTAAGCTCCCAAAAATCAAAAATGTTTAATAAAGAATCAAAAAAAAGTGGTACAAATCAATTAGAGAATTAAATTTTGTAAAATTATTATTACAACGAAATTACAACTAATTTAGTAATTCTAATTCGACTGGTGACTGGTGCAGTAGTCTTCTATTCCAAAACCGATTGGTGATGAATCCAAAGGACTTTGTTTCAACTGACAGAGTGCTACTAGCCTGCCAAGGATAACAGATTTATTAACTATTTACAGAAATCTCTTCCGGCTTAAAACTAAACTATTAACTAACAAAAGACAATTGAAGATGGATGAGAAAACAAGAAACCATTTTCTGAACAAGTTTGTTCATCATAATCTATTGGTTCAGTTTTGACTGTTCGTAATCGTGCATATGTCTTGACCGATTGCTGTGAATGATCCGGATTGTAGAATCCACTACTGCTACCGTAATCGCCGTTAATAGAACCACTGTCTGCACCGTTACAGTTACTTTTCGAGAGATGGATTTCCTCCAAAAATTGTTGATCTTCATTTTCATACTGAGAGTCAACGATTAATGCTCCACGTTCCGGAGTAAACGCCATGTAACGGCACACAATTCACAGCTATTCTAAAGAATTCAGTTTATTCTGACGCTTTCAAACTTTACTTCCCTCTTATCTGAAACTTAACTGTGTCCAAGACTAATGAGCACTCGGAACCACTAAACAAATATTTCTAGAAATTCTCTAATGTACGTCAACACAGCGTTTTTTGAAGAACACACTATGAAGTGATATACTTCTCATAATTACTGAGAAATATTTACGCCACTTAGAATAACTCATCAACTCCATCTTCTACCTGAACTATATTTCTGATCTGATCTGATTTTCTTATGTATGAAATGACAAATGCATCATTGAGAGTAGTGCCCAAATTATATACAGCATCGAACTGTGCTGAGTCATATTCTAGTAATTTGGAAATTTCTACCTTGTCAGAACAAAACGTAGTGAAGTTCTCAAATGAAATTTATTTTTGTGCCAGTGACAGAACAATTTCCAGAAAGGCAAGTACGTCACGAATGTCCAAAAACAAATCCTTCGTCAGCGTCTGTAATTGAGAGGAAACGATGAAATCATATGTGGGCAAATGAAGTGTCTGTTCAACATATTTTTGAGACCGTACTGCCGTCTCTCGCCTTTATGATCAAGTTCGTCAGCCAGTTACTGCGTTTCTCATTCAGCATAATATAAAACAGCAGAGTAACAGCAATCCTGTAAAGGACGTTTACAAAAGGCTTAGGCTTGGTGGTACTGCAACGTTAACTCTACTTTATTAGGCTATAATGTCATGCGAGTGACACTCTCTTTACCAAATATTACCATCGGCTTATCATTATTGGGCCGTTCTAAGTTCAGTTACAGGGTGAAATGAATGCCTTGCCTATGAAGATTTAACTGCCAATAAACTCTCATTCTCCCCAGAAAAGACTTAATCCAATTGAGCACTCTTATCTGAAGCAAAGCCTGCGCTGCATAGTAGTATCTCCAGGACCAGGCACTTTGACACTTTACCTACTTATCACCATCACCCTTCCTTCTCATCGAACCCTCACAACTTAGACAGAATTGGAATAATAACGCGGCCGTAGCCCAGTGAATAAATATCATAGTGCAACCACATTGTCTCTATGTGAAATTTCATTGTGTGTCCGTGTTTTTGTCCATACGTTTTTAATAGATAAGTTAAAGTTTCGAGAGTTTAGAGACATTTCTATTTAAATTTATTGTTTGTATTGATAATAAGTGATGGCATTTACGATTGGTGAATTGTCAGTGTCAGAATGGGAGGCATAATTTGTCGAGTTAAAGTTTACATACGCATTGAAGTTCTAAAGCTATGAAAAAGTTGCCAGCATGTGGTAACGGCTTTATCTATATTCATTTGTCATCCTTAAATTTGTTTAACTTCATTTTTTAAACTTTAACAGCTAAGTCAATCAGTTGCTGTTTCTCATTATGTCTGATTTCGGATTAACTTAACATAGTTCTTACAGCATTTCTCAGTTTGTTATTTAACATTTCTGCCGTCGGTTTGCAGCAATTGGTGTGTATATTAAATAATTTCATGATGCTAAATCCTACGATTTGTAAACGCATTCTTATTTTCTTGAGAAATGGAATATATTCAAATAGACCTCATCGACAATATCAGCGGTAATCGAAAGAGGAATGGTGCTGGTTGAGGTGATAAGTTAGATGTCCTTTATGTCAGATCTATGAAAGTTATAAAACCACTTGGCGGGACTCAACTTTCTGAAGGTTGTTTATACTAGTGTCCAAAGGAACTGTTTGTTTGGAAATGAATTCGCTGTGTTATCTTATATTTGATTCATCCTAATGTACGAGCTTGTGCATGAACTGACCTGTTCATTAAGCTATACTGGAATTACCGCTGATATTGTCGATGAGGTCTATTTGAACATATTTACTGGAATAAACACTCACCAAAATCTCAGCGCACCGATGTATCGTTTTCAGCAGAAAAAAGATGTTCCAAATTATTTTGTGCAATGTATTTTAATTTATTGACATGAAAAGTTATTTAATACAAAACAGTACATTGTATCAGAGTCTGTGGTCACCTGAAGACATACTCCGGCATTTCGAGCTCTTTTTATAGACACTTATTTTCCTGCAAAAGAGTAATGCTTTTCTTTCTGCACCTGCCGCTTCAACTTCATGCATATATATTTTGGTTGTCCAGAGATGTCTTGTCAAATCGCAGTGTTTTTTTTAACTGCCATTTACCCTTTCCAACATTGTAAGGAAGAAATAAAAAGCATTTTGCTAAAAACGATTCTTATTTGTCAATAACGATTTGAAAAAAGAAAATTCAGGAAACCTTGGTGTAATATAAAAGGCATTATAGTCCCCTTCGATCAATGTACTATAAGGCGAACTTGCTTTTCGTACTCGATAGGCCTGTCTTAATGATCGAAAACAAACAATCATCGTCGCAAAACTTACCGTAACTGAAATTCACTGTTTTGTTAAAATAATCATTTTGGTTATAATAAAAATCTGATATTCAATTATGAACTTTCACGACGTATTTATAATTTCTAGTCTTCCATGAATTAGATCCTATCGGAAATTGCTCCTATTCTCTCTTCACACAGGAGCACAGAAACAAGCTTGGTCAAACATATTCTAGATCAGAAATGTTAAAAAAACTTTCATCTGATACTACATGGTTGCTTTTCAATTAATACACATTTTCGTGTGATATTGAATATGTTTCACGTCATAGTGTTTAGAAATAAAAAATACTATAAACTTTTCCACGAGCTTAACTAACGTTAATTAACTCATTGATCAAAATTTGCAAGTTTTTTATATAGTCAGAACTGATTTTAATGGAATATAGTAAAGTACCATTGAAAACAAATCTGACAATAACTGCAAATGATGTAGGAAAGGATTAGAAGAATCAATTTGAAGTGTTTTAATTATTTTGCGTCGAATTTTCCTACATATAGTTCATAAAAAGATCCAACTAACATTCGATCAGACCGAAGCAGAGAAGAACAACGTGGACGTTACTTATTGCTCCGTGACACTCGCCTCGATCACAATTGTAATTTATTAAAGCAGCACTATCCACAAACATTGTTATGCTCATTACCATGGAAAACATTGAAAAAAGCAGCAGTAACAATTGCGCTGGGCGGTCTAGTCTTCTGGAACTACTTTGGCTGTTTTTTTTTATGTTTTTTGATATGACTAGATCGATCAAGTTTGAATTTAATTGGTTGTGAGACCAATTAAATTACCATCCTAACTTGCTTACAACAATAATATCCATTTTAAGATGGTTCTTTAATATTTATATTGGCTTTTTCTGTTAGAGAGTCAAATTTAACCTTGCCGAAATAAATGAGAAAATTCCGCAGACGATAAATGACAGTGATGCTGTCACAGCAAATGCTGTTTCCGAGATATTGTTAGTAAGAACATCAAATACAAGCAACACAATGCCAAGTGGTAAATGACAAATGCCAAGCATTATACCGCAGAACCGACATGGCCATATCTGTGCGACATTAAGTTGCATCGAATGAGAAAGTTCTGCAATTATTTATAGAGTTACAATCAAGTGACTTAAAAAATCAAAGCAACGAGTAAGAAGAAATAAACTGAGTTAATGTTATAGCAGAAACTATTTTTCAAGTACTACCCTAAAAATAATCGTTTATAAATATTTAAAAAGAAGTAGCAAAATTAGAGAGTATCAAGAATAATAATGGATAAAACTAAGTAAAAATAATTCTGCAACATTAATAATAATTTATGGTCATATCTTGCTAAAATTTGTTAGATGTATTTTTATTTGTTGCTTACCTTGTCTAACAGCAGGTGAAGATGATTTTGTCATCAAGGGTTTGAGATCAGTTTTTTCCATTTTCATATGCGTACAAGTTTTTGCCACTAAAAATTATTCTCATAATTAGTGGGATTTCTAATCTATCACCTTATCTTGAAGTCAAACTTTAATGTGACACATCTTTCTAAGAAAAAACAAATTTCAAGTATATAACTCACTGTAACTATAATTATCTTTCTAAATGATATTCAAATTTTGAAAAGAAACATTGCACTGTGATTAACTGCTTTTCAAAAGTTGAACGAAGGAAGAAGAAACGTCTGAAATTGTGCGCCATACTATTAAAGGTAATCTCCTGTAGACATAGCTTTTGAATTCTTCTATTTTTGATTTTGTACTTATTTCACTACTTTTTTTGGGATTAGTGTTCATCAATTTCAACCACTTTTTGGTGATGACTGATTTTTTTCACTTCGAACCAAATCAATTATTATCAATCTGCCATGCTCTTCGATTACAATTTTAGCAATGGCTTACGTTTCAAGTAATACGTATTCCAAATTGGGTACGTTTTTGAAACTCAAGAAATTAAGTAATTATCGAAGTAAAAGTGCCCTTATATGTGACATTTCTTCTTTGTTGAGATCTTCTGTATGGAATTTATAGACATTAGCAACTATGATTCCATGTTCATCTCTCTTTTATCATTTAGTATGTGCTCCATCTCAAGTGAGGCATGTTTTGATTAAGTTAGTTTGATTGTAATATTTTTGCAACTGATAAGACCAACCTTGAGAAATGATTGCTTTTTGTGATCTGATGCACAACACAGCCGAATTGCTATGCTTAATTGTCCTTTAATGATTGGTCTATCGATTGTAGAAAACATAGGATCGTCTGTTATTTTTAACTGAATTCATGGAATTATCAAAAGGTTATATACCTGAAATAAAAACTTTAATTTGGAAGATGTAAAATATTTCTCATTATTCTCAAGAACAAAATCAATGATTGAAATTGAGTCCTATATTTTCACTAGTTTACAATGTCTGTTCAATTACATTTATCATATCAGAGACCAATGAATTTAAGAGGTAGATTCGTGGCATAAAATCAAGGATCAAGGTAAAATGTATAATTTTATACAGATATTTGCATTCATCCTTAAATTATTTTACATTCGCCGTAGTCGCCTTCAAAATAAAATGTTACAGTGTGAATGTTAATAATAATAGAAAAAAATTTTTGCTCGACTATTTGTCAGGGAGAGAACACATTTGATTGATAATAGTATGCCAAGTATTCACAGATCAAAATTCACAACGAAAACAATGCAAAAAAGATTTCTATTGAAATTTTATAAACGCAACATTTTAGACTTCATTGATTCTTTTCATTTAGAATTTCTAGTGCAGTAGGGTAGGAATAACAGGGCAATGGAAATTGAAAAATTTTTTAAATAAAGAAGGAAAGCGGACATCTGGTTACCAAGCAGCCGCTTAGCTAACAACATTTGAGACTTGGTGTGTTGAATAGTCTTTTAATCAAAATTGACGCTTACCTAATTCTGAAATTTTCATGTAACTAAGATGAGATTGGATCGAAATGATAAATATGGAAGTAGACAAATCAGTAAATCATAATACGAATAAATTGATCAAACAAAATATGGTCGAGTCAATAGCAAAACAATTGAACTGATATAACAAATGCACAAGGCTGATATTTTTTCGCTTGTCTATTATTTTTTTTTTTAATACAAATTTTTTATACAAAATAAACAAAAGGAAACTTGAAAATGTAAGTCGCTCAAATCTGTTTTATTTTTAGGTTTAATAAAATTCTAATTCAATCATTTTTGTGGAACAGTTATGAAATTGAAAAGAAAAAGGGAAATTTTTCCTCCATATTGCAAAAATTAAAAGATCAAATAATTTTCGGAGAAATAAACAAGGGAAAATGAGTAGAAGAAATGTAGTATAACTCAGTGTAAAGACGAGTTTATTTTCTTGTGATGAGCGAGTGAAACCGTTTTTAGATCTTAGTTAAATAATTAGACCAAATAGCTAACGAACAACGTGCAACTGCTTTACTAATTGCAAAACTTTCAGAATTCAATTTCCTAACCTTTCTCCATTACATTTGTTTCTTTGTTTTGCTCGAAAGCGCACAGAACTGTCTTATTTGATTTTCAAAAACAAAAAGAAAGTATTTTATTAATTAAATTTTAAGTAAGACTTTAATTTTAAGTTTTAAGTTTAATTTTAATTTTAATTTTAAGTTTAATTTTAAAATTAAATTTTAAGTAAATTTTAAGTATCATCTATTTATTAATCTTCAAAATTTTCACAGATAAATTGCAGGCATTTCAACTTCAATTATTTACATTCGTTTTCAGATGTAAGACAAACTGATCATAACTGGCAAATATTATATTTATTATTTAAGGAATAAAGTTATCTTTTTAGATAACAATTTCTAAACGCTGAAATAATTGCCCATAGAAAATGGTTAAAACTTTCTACGAATACATTCAACGTATATATTCAATATAATACTCAATGAATTCACGTACTAATTTGGCTTAAATAATGATCCTCGAGATTCATTTAAAAGGAATAAATGATGAGTGAAACTTTTAAAGTGTCAATGATGAAAAGTAAAAACAATTACACTTAACATAAATTTAAAGTCTGAGCAAAAAGAGATAGTTGAAAACAAAATGCTAGTAAATGTTTGAGTATGCTTCGATCAGTTGTTATTTCGTTGAGCAAACAGATACATTTATACCCATGAAGTAGAAAAAGAAATAAAGTTGAAGCTTAGTTTGAAGTGAATGCACTTAGAAAGACAGCTGCTTAAGAAGTTTCCTTCAATTAGCTCATGATAACATTTAGAAAATATTGGGAAATTATACCTCTTTCAGCAATAGACTTCAGCCTGTGTTTTGAAAATGAATAAAAATATCATTGAAGTAAATAAATCAAAAATGAAATCTACAATTTATTCCTGCTTAAAGTTTATGATAAATGAGATAGATTTTCATTAAATGGAATAAAAATGTGTAAAAGAAATTAAATAAAAATTAAATAAACGTGAAAATAATTTTGAAGCGGTAGGAAATTTTAGCAATCGTTTACACTCATCGATCTGTTCAGATAATTCCAGAAATAAACGATATCCCTCGATTAGCAGCTTATTACGGTGGTATTAATTGGTAGTAATTAGTGTTGTAATGCAATCTTTTCACGTATTCTGGATACGATACGCTCCCTAATATTCGAAAAGTACCAGTCGTTCTGTACTGCTTGTTACGAAAGAATTAATAAAAAAAAAAGTGATAAAACTTTTCGCACCGTCTCAAATTTTTGTTTTATTTCCAACACATATTTTAAAGTTATTCATTTTAAAAAAAGATGCAAGAAACTAAGACTTTGTTAAATTGTTTGGTTTGAACTAACTTCCTTAGCAGACCTTAAAATATAATTTCTGTTTTTTTTTTTTTTTTATGAAAAGGAAGAGAAATGAACAGCTAAAGCTGTTCTTCACTAGGAAAATAAGTAAATTAACGACGACCATTAAATTCATAAGTTACATGAAACGCAAAGAGACATTCCAAATTGATTAATTTGAAAAAAAGTATGCTCAGTTTATTCAACATTATTATTGCAGGAAACATTTAGTATTAATGTTTGTACCGTAACGTAAAAACTATGGGTCGGATTTTCTATCTGGTAAGAAAAGTTATCAATTTGCGTAGCAAAATAATATTTAGGATGAGCTAATGAAAATTAAACAGATAAGTCCAAGAAAAAGATATTATAATTTTTTCAAACAATCGAAATAATAACGAAAACATAACAAATGCAAGTTGAAAATTAGGATAAATTTATTTGACAAAGCAATAACAAATTTTTGACAAATTTCAGCTTTTACTGGCTAATATACATTAAGATATGTTTTTGTTTAAATAATAGATGCAAATACATTGTTAACCACAAATTAATGTTAATAATTTGATGTAAAAGAGTGAATCAGACAATACTGCAGAGATTGCGCAGAAAACGTGAAATAATGGCAGCGTACGTATAACAACCAGTTTTTTCGAAAATTTAATGTAACATACAGTAATAGAATTTCCATTACATCGTGTACTTAAATGTTTTATAACAAAGAATAAAATTAAACACAACTATGATCAAAGATCAAGCTAAGATGACCTCAAAAATTTTTTAGAAATAGTTGCAATCCATATAAGATAAATGAAGTTGGAAGATTAATTTCTTATTGGTCAGCTAATATTGGAAATAAAGGATTCAAATTCGACTGCCATATGTATTGATTTTCAAAAGAAATTTCAAAAAATACTTAGTGGTCATTATAAATATTTGCCAACAGTTTTTCATTTTTCCAAAAAATAAGCACAGGAATACTAAAGTCTAAAATAGTTTGATGTTGACAGTACTAGCAATAAGATTATTAGATTTTTTAGCTGTAGCAAATTAAAAATATGGATTGCAGCTGTTTCTTAAAATTTTTTTCTCTTCTTGTTTCAAAGTTTTTTTTTTTAATCTTTTTAATTAAAAGTGTGTGATGCGGTTAACTCTATTATTAGTACTCCCATTAGTTTGCAGATGTAGTAAAAATTAGAGAAATACAATCATTTATTAATTCAGCACTCATAACAAATGATTCAATATTTCAAAGACAATTCAAATAATACGAACATTCATCTCTTATCTTTCTTACCTTTTTAATTAACCAATTAAAATAACACAGGAGCAGGTTGATTACAAGTAATAAGAAAAAAAGAAAACTTAAATTGTTGTTGCGGATATCTGGAACACTTCGCTTTATTTTGAATACTGAAACGCATGTCGGTAAGGCGGAAACATCAATTTAGAGTAACTCATAATTAACTTAGCATCGCATTAATGTTGGATTTATACTTATTATCTTTAGTTTTTTTTTTTTTTTTTTTTTTTTTTTTTATTTTAGTTTATTATAAATTTTAGATTATAAAATTGAAGGCAACATTTTTTATCAACGAAAGATAATTTTTTCTGGAAATCTGGAAGTTTAAG